TTAGACAGCTTCAGACATACTAATTTTTAACCTTTTTTAGCTGGACCAAATCACTACTTTACTTTAAAATTCATGACCTAAATTTCTTACAGTGTAATCCCACCACCCCGTCCCCCTACTTGCTTTTTGAGTCATAAAACATGAGGACATAAATTTGGAAGGTGTATGAAACAAATTGCAAGTAATACACTGTACACACTGGGGACTATATTTGTATAGACAACGAAAGTCAAAGGACGATAACTGTGTCCCCGGACCAGACAATTAATGTATTCCAAATAAATTGTATACAACTGTCATGCAAATTACTGTCCTTACCTGAACCAGCCATGCAGCTAATCAGTAGACAGACCATGCCATTACAATTGTAAACATTTTTCTTAGGTCAAAAGGAAATTATTTATTTTTAATATTAGAATTATAAAGAATCGACTTCAACATTCCTATTACGTTAAATAATTCTAACATGGAAACAATCGGATTGTAATCCAAAGATTAAAAGAAAATTATGTATTTATATATGTATTGTGACAGATATTTGACATAAATTTTGGACATAGCTGACGTTACAATTATTAGATAAAATTTAATTAATCTCCAGTGGAAAAATATCGTAACACACTTATTGCAGTGGTGAAATATATATTTACATATTCAATTTGTGACATTTTATTTTCATTTAGAAATTGTTTTTTAACTTGCGTCAATTAAATCTTCAGCAAATAAAGATTTAGCCTGTAATTCCTGTAATTCAGTTGTTGCCATTTGTTGCTGTATATCATATTTGTTTTTCGTTTATTATTTCGTACATGAGTTAGGCTAATTGTTTTCTCGTTTGAATTGATTTACATTTGTCATTTCGGGGCCTTTTATAGCTGACTATGCGGTATGTGTTTTACTCATTGTTAAAGGCCGTACGGTGACTTATAGTTGTAAATGTCTGTGTCATTTGGTCTCTTGTGGAAAGTTGTCTCATTGGCAATCATAACACATCTCTTTTTTTTTTACTACAAGGGGTCGCTCTTCCATTAGGCATAAAGGGTAGTGCAGAGTATATACTTCTAATCGAAAGATGAAATTACTAACCTATTGATTCAGTGACAAATAACCATGGTGAAATTTTAACCCGTGATAAATTAGTTGACATATAAAAACCGTTTCAAGTAACCCGAATAATACATTGATTTCGTTATATTCCGCTCACTATCGATCAGTACATTCGAAAGGCGGAGATAGTCGGAGACGGTAAGGGGTTGATTTGTTCGAGTTAATATTCCAGCGGCACGTATGTAGAATACCTTCATATAGGAAGAGACCCCCTTACTTATAGACACATTAATATGCTACTGTGCTGGGACTTGATACACATGTGATATTAAGCCCTAGTATTGTCACGTGAGACTTAGAATCATATAACACATAACTTGTGATTGTGTTATTCTGCGCCGTAATTGGAATAAAATCGAAGCAGTAAAATGGGTACACGTAAATTCGTACCTAGTGATTGCGGCAAATATTTAAAGTCATTTCGGAATTTGATTAGCAATCATAAAGAGCCATCTTTTTAATATGATGTATATTGATTTTTATATAAAGATGCAACTAGATATAAAAGACATTTAATGCTTTGTTATTTAGTCTTTGTATGACCCTATCCAGCATTTCGAAGGACAGTCTATAAATTTCTTATCGTTCACCCGGTTGATCTAAGTTTCAAAATCTATTTATACACAACAAAACATAGAATATATTTATTAAGATATAATTAAAACTAAAATACATACTACATGATATACACACGAAAAAAATAAACATCATTTGGCGTTTAGCCGTCTCAGTTGTTGTCACAGTTATTGATTAGTCGTGATTGATTAATTTCCAAGCCTGGGAATCATATCAATTGGAAGATCTGAGTTCATGCTTGAACTTCTGAATAAGGATAGGACACTAACTTTAAGTTCATGCTTGAACTTACTGTTGGATCTGTTCTTGTTTAGATCAAGCATGTAGATCAAAAACGTCAGTGATAAAAGTCCATGCATGGACTGACGTCAGGACTGACTTAGAATTGGGATCTGTTGGTAGTCCGGAAACTTCTAGCATGTGTCTGGTCTATTTAAATGTTAACCAAGACTACTGCTATATGTACCATTAACTGTGACAAGCATCTTATACATCAATAACTCTGCATCAAATTTGGGGAAATTGAGTTAATAAAAACGAAAATTTGCCAAATACAGTTGATGACTGGATATTAAAGGAGACAATTGAACCTCAAATGAAGATGGTTACTATAAATTTAGAAATTATTGCGAGGTTTTTATTAATGCGAATAATGCGACTGGGTGAGTATCGCAATGATAAGAATTCGCATTTTAATAGATGATACATATATACATCTATCAATATGTAGAATTTTTTTGAAACAAAAATTGTGTTCTTCTCATGCATATGCATGAAATATTTGCCACCGGACGTTTAGTAAGTAAAACTCATTAACATGCCATTGTCCCTAATTGATTGCAATAATTGCCGCTGAACGTTAAATATTTATTCATCCAATGGTCTTTGCATATATTTATTTATGTAATATCTGTATTTGTTCGGGTTTAAATGAAATTTTAGCAGGATCTATACTCTTTGATTCGATTCAGAGAGAATGGGATTGTGTGATAGGTGAGTTTGCTGGCTTCATCGGTAAAGAACTTTCACGAATAACGTGTTTAAAAGATGAAAACAACACTTTATAAGTGTTTTACGTTCGAAGCGCATTTCTTGATTTAACTTCATCAGGAACGCTTAAAGCCGAAAACTTTAAAGCCAAGAATATAAATAAGATCCGAAACAGTTGAATAGTAATTTGACCAAAAAAAAAACGACCTAAAGATAATACTCAAATCTATCGAGATAAGGTCAACTTTATCCGACGAATTTTAAACTATTCTTTTCATTCCATGTACTAGTACTTTATAGTTAGTACATACAACTACATATGCAGTAGTTGTTTCATTCTGGATTTTTATATTTTGTTTTCCACCAATATTAACATAGCTATTTGCATCTTTTTTTTAGAAACAACGGGAAAGAATGCGGGCTTCGACAGTCTTACAATGTATCTTCAAGATTTGTTTTTTCTTTTAAAACAATTTCTAACCGGAATTTTTGGAATATTTAATTTTTTGTTCGTAACAAATAAAATGTGTATTTATATTATGTTGTAGTAAGATGATATCCGTTAATCATGACAAGTGGTACCAACAGAACATCCATTGAAAGACTTGCCCTAAAAGCTGATGTACAGTGATTGTATTTACCATTTTAAAATTCTATTCAGTACTTATCTTCAATAAATTGAAGTTCAGTGTTGCTCAAGTTTATAACATTTTTCTTTTGTTCTTGCATCATTTGGCATCATGCACATAATTGTACAGCAGCTGAATTGCGTTGCCTTTTGAATAAAATCAGTCGACTTTGACATAATATGCGTTTCTTCCGAGATATGTGTGTTTTTTGCTGGGTTTTTTTTTGTAATTCGAAAGTAAAACAATTTCTTATTCATAACTTCACTATGGTAACAATTTTTCATAAAAAAAACCAAAAAAAAAAAAAACTTTTTGATTAAATCTGTCATTTACACAAATGTAAGCCTTTGAAGGTCTCAGAGTTGTAGTTGCATTTCAACGATTTATGTAAAAAACGTTGTGTGTCCGTCTTCTGATAAACCAACTACTATAAACTTCCTTTTCAAAAGGCCACGAGTCGAGCTAGCTCTGCTCGGTGCAAACATACGTAGCAACGACATTTGACGATACATTCCACGCTAGTGTAAAGAAGTAACAAGTTCCGCTACAATGTAGAACGTCAAAAACACCTGACTTTTGTATTATCCTTTTGATGTCATTAATTACTGCAAAATACCAAACACGCCATCTTTGTGTCTGTAGCAGTCTCGAGAGGCAAATTTATTGATTAATAAGTGGTCATTGTTAACATACATATTGTAGACCGTTTTTTATCGTTGGATTGCTGTCTCCTTGATGTATTACTTAAACCTTATTTAATCATATGAAAAACTCATCATTGAGGATTAAGGATGTTCGCTACTCTATTTTAAAATAATAAGATTTTTAAAAGACTGTTATAAATTGATAGTATATGAATAAAGAAGCTAAAAAAGCAGAAAAAATGAAAGGTCTGTGTGCTTGTTTTCGAGATATAAGCCATCGAAAATTTGGCTGGAAATAATTCTCTCTAGACTTTTCATACATTTAACATTGGCATCTTTTTTCTTTCAAAAACGATGAAAAAATAACAAGGATTTTATTAGATTTTCAGAGATGACACTTCAAACTAAATGTAATCAAATTAGTGAAAGAAAAGTAGGGGTTAGTGGGCAAATTTTTTTAATGACACTACATGGATAAAACCAGAGGATTCCGAATATCTGACAAAAAATCAAAAACAAGAGAAGCGAACATCCTTGATTCATAATTCTTTTAATTGTAGGGATTTAAATACCAATTTAGAAAAGTGCGGGAGATCGTGGGTTCGAACCCCGGTCGGGTCAAACCAAAGACTTTAAAATAGATGTTTGCTGCTTCTCCGCTAAGCATGCGGCATTAACGAGTAAGAGCAAAGACTGGTCGGCTCGGAGTCAGAACAATATTGTGATCCGAGTAAGGTGATATGTCTTCCTGCGGACTGGTATCTTATGAACTAATACGTTACAAAATCCGTCTCAGCGTGTTTGTCCTGTACAAAGCAGGGTTAATATTCATATCAATCAACATGTTCACGTCCTGAATATGCATATGCATTTGCCGCTGGAAGTTAAGCAGCCATCCATCATCATCTTGCTCAAATAGTCGACATTCATCTCTACAAGTACAGTCCTGGTAGCATACGGTAGAAATATTGATTCTTTTGTTTTATACCTTGCGTAATAAAATATGATATTTTCAGTTTTGTTTTTTCTAGTCGCAGTTAATGTGAAAAATAACTACGGTTATTGTATTTTATTACTAATAAGCATATATAGTATATGACAAACGATGCAGTTCACACAAAAACTAATTGCAATCTACATTTAAAAAGTCTAGAACGTTAATAATGGATCAAAAAGGAATATAGAATAATTCAAACAAAAAACAACCATCACGAATATCATGCATCACTATGAATTCTCTTTTGATATATTGAAAAATTTCCAATTCCAAAATCTTTTAGCGAAAATATATCATTACGAAAGCGTTCAGTTATGCATGATTTTAAAGTAAAAAAAAAAATAACAAAAAAACAATAACTCTACCTTAATGATCGACATAATGAACATATTTTAGGACAACATTTAGTTTTACAATTTTTTTTTTAATTTTATGTTCAATAAATGGATCAGCTGCTTATCAATTATATAAATAAACTCATCATAGATACCTGGATTGAAATTTTGTATTTGCGCCAGACGCGCGTTTCGTCTACAAAAGACTCATCAGTGACGCTCGAATAAAAAAAAGTTAAAAAGGCCAAATAAAGAACGAAGTTGAAGAGCATTGAGGACCAAAAATTCCTAAAAGTTTTGCCAAATACAGCTAAGGTAATCTATTCCTGAGGTAGAAAAGCCAAACGACAAATTTGGAAGCGTGTTATTCCTAATACAAATTGTTAAAATCATAAGCGTTCAAAAGACACATTTCAAAAAAGAAAATGAAGGTATATATCAAGAAAAGGGCTTCGGACGCATGAGAATAATAGTGTCATTTCATTTATTTTAAACAGAGTTTATTATCTGAATACGTTGTTTACTAGATCTGCTTGAAATAATTTCATCTGTTTTATTCATTGGTTGTTTAAAACATCCTCATAGTGAAATGGGTTTACTTAAGATATATAAGTCTTTATTCCTGTTGAATTGGTTTATGTTAATGTAAATTTTAAACAATATCAATAATCATCCAGAGGCCCACAGTAGTTTACATAAATTGTGACAATTCATTGCGGTTGACTGTGCAGATAATATATTTTTATTGAATTATAAACATCCTTCCCCAAGCAACAATTGAGTTTTTATTTTAATTTCTTGAACAGAAAATGCATTTTAATCTTATATATCAAGGGCATGCCATGTCTTAAAGAAATTCAGATGGAGAGGTTTAATTGCACTCAGTGTAAAGGAGTAAGGGCAATAAGGCCCTTATTTGGCCCAAATATAACTGCAAATTTAAAAGGTATCATACATATTCTTAAATCTTAAATCTTAAACAAGGTTTTCAGAAAATAAAAAAAAAATTAACATTGAACGAGCTACCATGGCAACAAACCATGACAAAATTTGCATATTTTGTAAAATTTCTTGATTTTCCTTGTTTTTCATCAAATTTTAGGTAATTTTTAGATTGGAAAAGTATCTGCGCACCCAAGAAACAACTTTATATTTTGTGAGATTACGTCAATAGTTATAACAAAGCTTCTCTTAAATTATTTTGTTGTTTCTTGGCTGCGCACGATGTTTCCACAATGAAAATAACGACCGAAAACTGCATAAATTCTGTATTTTTCATCGTTTTTGTGAAACGATACATATCATGACGTAATTGTGACGTCATCAGATAAAAATCTTTATGTTTTTCATTTATATTTCATGACCCTATGCATTTCCAAATATTATGTGCCAACTTGAAATAGTTGTCAAACATTTTATGCCCCCCACTCCTTTTGTACTGTAGAATGGCTATTTAAGCAAAATGGTCCAGATGAATCTTAAAAACATTGTTTAGATGATCTATAGATATAAGAAGATGTGGTATGAGTGCCAATGAGACAACTCTCAATCCAAATCACAATTTGTAAAAGTAAACCATTATAGGTCAAATTACGGTCTTCTTCACGGAGCCTTGGCTCACACCGAACAGCAAGCTATAAAGGGCCCCAAAAATGACTCATGTAAAACCTTTCAAGAAGGAAAACTAACGGTCTAATCTATATAAAAAAAAAAGAAACGAGAAACACTTATGAACCACATCAACAAACGACAACCACTGAACACCAGGTTTCTGACTTAGGGCAAGTGCAAACAAATGCAGCGGGTTTAAACGTTTTAATAGTTACCAACCTTCACCCATAAATAACTCCTGAATGATATATTGCTAATCATTAAAATCAACCCGGTTTTTAGTGGGGTCCGTGTTGCTCAGTCTTTACTTTCCTCTGTTGTGTTTTGTCGACTGTTGTATTGTTTTGTCTTTTTCGTGTGTGTTGTTTTTTTTTGCAATGAAAATGTAAGTTTGATTTCGATTTATGAGTTTGAAAATCCGCTTGTTATCTGTGGTCCCTCTTTTTAACAGATGGAATAAATAAATATGTAAATAATAAATCAGCAGAGTGCACGCCTGCAGGCATTTGTTGATTAACACACAATTATCTATTTAAAACAATTATAACTCGGACTGATTTACAAACAAGAAATCATTTAAAATTTGCTTATTTTAAACTTAGCAAAGATAAATTAAAACCCGTTTTTTCATATTTTAATTTTCAACACCATTCTTTTCATACGACTTCAGTCAAACTTTTACAACAACATGTTAACTGGTGTGGGTATTGTAAGCTTATCCAAGATTAAGGAGAGCATATGGGAAACGAAATTTTCTAATTAAACATAACAATGGTGCATTGCAGCTTGATAAATTCATTTTCTTGCCGGTTCTTTCTATTTGTTTAAATGTGTATGATATTTTCTTACAAGCTATAAACACACAATTTACTAAATATTTTTTCTTCTTTTTTATTTCATTATGTCATCATTGTTTATTTTATATTTGAAAAAAAAAAACCAATTAAATATGCCGAAGGTGATTATAACGACATTGTCTATCCATGAGGGTCTTCCGCCGTCGGTCATATAAGCATATAGTATGTTATAAGTACAAAATAGACTTATGAAGTAAGACAAGGTAAAATATAAAACAAGGACTTTCAAATTGTCTTAATTTTAATCTATGATAAGAGGATACAATTGTCAAATTCTAGTAACAATAAATCAACAACTAAAACATTACTATAAAATATACTAAAAAAATGCGGTAAAAAATAAAAATAAACATGTTAATATAATATTACTATAAAATATACTAAAAAAATATGCCGGGTAAAAAATAAAAATATATATGTTATAACATTACTGTAAAATATACTAAAAAAATATGGTAAAAAATAAAGATATATATGTTATAACATTACTATAAAATATACTAAAAAGATATGGTAAAAAATAAAAATATATATGTTATAACATTACTATAAAATATACTAAAAAGATGTGGTAAAAAATTAAAATATATATTTTAAAACATTACTATAAAATATACTAAAAAAAATATGGTAAAAAATAAAAATATATATGTTATAACATTACTATAAAATATACTAAAAAAATATGGTAAAAAATAAAGATATATATGTTATAACATTACTATAAAATATACTAAAAAGATATGGTAAAAAATAAAAATATATATGTTATAACATTACTATAAAATATACTAAAAAAATATGGTTAAAAATAAAAATATATATGTCATATAAGCATATAGTATGTTATAAGTACAAAATAGACTTATGAAATAAGACAAGGTAAAATATAAAACAAGGACTTTCACATTGTCTTAATTTTAATCTATGATAAGGGGATACAATTGTCAAATTCTAGTAACAATAAATTAGCAACTAAAACATTACTATAAAATATACTTAAAAAAGGCGGTAAAAAATAAAAATAAACATGTTATAACATTACTATAAAATATACTAAAAAAATATGTTAAAAAATAAAGATATATATGTTATAACATTACTATAAAATATACTAAAAAGATATGGTAAAAAATTAAAATATATATTTTAAAACATTACTATAAAATATACTAAAAAATATGGTAAAAAATAAAAATATATATGTTATAACATTATTATAAAATATACTAAAAAAATATGGTAAAAAATAAAAATATATATGTCATATAAGCATATAGTATGTTATAAGTACAAAATAGACTTATGAAATAAGACATGGTACAATATAAAACAAGGACTTTCAAATTGTCTTTATTTTAATCTATAATAAGGGGATACAATTGTCAAATTCTAATAACAATAAATCAACAACTAAAACATTACTATAAAATATACTAAAAAAATATGGTAAAAAATAAAAATATATATGTTATAACCATATTGCATTTAAAAGGAGGTTAATGTGCTACTATTGAAAAAAAATAATAACCCGTTAAAGTTAACAAAGCGATTACTAGATCAATAATTTTAAAATCAGAGACCATAATTTGTTTGAATGCACCTTTTGAAAAAAAAACATCTATGCTATCTATTGAAGTCTTTAAAAAACAAAACACTTAAAAATTTTATGAAATATTCAATAATGATTAATATAAAAGCTGGAATTGCCAAGGCTTGCAAAATCTTATAACTTGTTGTAAATTCTGCAGTATACATTTATATGTATTTATCAGCAAACAAAAATTTGACCTCCACATTTTATTCTGTATACACTATAGGTTATAATCGTAATCACTATTAAAAAAAAAACTAGTTCAACAAAGAAAAAAACAAAATGGCATATATATGTTACGGTGAATTTGTAAAATCAGGGATTTTGTAAAATCAGGGATTTTGTAAAACCAGGGATTTTGTATAATCACTGAACTGATCAGTGATTTTATAAAATCCATGATTTTGACTAGGGATTTTACAAAATCACTGAAATATTTAAGATCTTTTTTTACAAATTCCCTGATTAAATTTATTAAAGGGAATTTGTAAAAAAAAGTTGTTTTTTGAATATTTTTTTTTAAGTAAACAGCAGTTACACTCTACAAGTTTGAGGTTAATTTAGCCTTTAATATTAATACTAAATATGGAGGGAAAATTAGAATTTAACATATGGAACCGGCAAAGTATTAAAAATTTCTAAAATTATTGATAAAAAAGACACAGAAAGAAAACAAAATAAGCTCTTATTTCCTTGTTCGAAACTAAGTTAAAGTTAATTATATAGTGATTCTGTAAATACTGAAAAGTATAAACGAATTATCAAATTTTGTAATCATATATAACTGGAGTGATTGTATTTATGAAAACAGAAAAACACACATGGAAAGAGTGTTGATTGGTTAAGGCCATGTAATCCAGTAGCAAATTTTACATGCATATCAGGACGAGAGTATCTTATTGTGACATGAAAATTTGATTATAGATAAAATCCTGTAGGTATGAATTTCTTTAATGTGGAGATGTGAACAAAATTGTAAAAAAAAACGGTATTCATCAGATGAAGATATCAAATATTATGTATGTCTTGAAGACATGTACTACATAGTCTTGTTACCATGCAAACATGGCGTTTTGTTTGGGTCATACACAAGAAATTGAGTCTGTCAGCTGTATTTACTGACAATTTCATACCGTTTCAACAAGCAGTTAATTCTCGTTCCATTTGTGATGCACACGTTTGTTTTAAATGCGGATGTTCTGGAATGAATAGACGTGAAAAAAATATGTGTTTCTGTCGAAAGCAGGGCAACTATGTAACAGATGTCACCCAAACTTATCATGGACAAATTAGTAAAGTATAGTCTTAATATCAGTTCATATATGCCTTTTATTCAAAATCACTGTACGTTTTAACTATTATTATTTAAAAAAAAATATATTTCATAATCATTGGTTTATTTGTATTAGGAAACATAAATTTTCAATATCAAGTTTAAATTTGCAATCAGATAAAATCCCTGAAAATTTCAGGGATTTTATAAAATCACTGAAACTGTTAGTGATTTTACAAAATCACTAATTATTCACAAAGTGCATAAGCAAGATTAAAGACAAGAATACAAAACAAGATCATAGTCAAAATCTGAGTTTATGAATATTGCCCTTCAAAAGTAGTTTTCTTTCATGATTCTACCAATACTTCATTAACACCCATATAATTTGGTTGCTCGACAGCATAGAGTACAACATTGACAATGTCACTTGCTTCTAGAATCGTATAAAATGACGTCAAATCAGGTTTGGCTTGTGTCTGTTAAAAAAATATTGCGCACTATAAGTGTATATATATTATGCAAACTGATAGTTCTGTACACGTTGTGCTAAAACTGATATCAATCAATAAACAATTGTTTTTAAAATGTTAGCTAGTGCATGATTATAAATCATGATATTTGGAGACTTATACACTTAACGCATCAATCAGTTGATAGTCTAACTTCACCTTTTGACGACTATTTTTAGAGGATATCATCGATACAATGTCATTTGTAGCTCACTGGACCTTTTGGGTCATATTCAGCTGTAACAATTGCCATCTCTTGTCGTTTATCATATGTCGTCCATATCATGAAATGATTTTATTTTTTATACAAACGTGGCTTTCAAATATTCGACTTTGAGCGTTCCTGTTGAAGGTAAATCTAGAAAAGCGCTTGGGACGCATCAACTCTATAACTTGTTGTATTCATTTTTTTTTTAGCAGTAAACTTTTCTCTGAAATTATTCTCTAAATTATAACTAAACTTGTCAATATTAATATTTGGGGACTTCACTTTAGAAACTCGTTCTCTTAATCTACCTGCAAATCTTTATGAACTTTATAGTACATTCTTGTTTGTCCGCTATGACCTTTAAACACGTTATACATAGAGGATATCAAACAGTAGCAAACATGCAAATTATGTGAAGTATTCCTAACCATGCGTTAAGACAAAATCTACCAGAAGACTCATTCAAGGACTTATTGACCTTCAAAAACGAGTATTCAATTCAATTATCTTAAAAAAAGTGAGGCGAAAGACACCACATTGATATATGCAAACTCATCAGTCTAAAACAACTTACAGTGTCATGGCAAAAATACAAAAAAAAAAACCGACCAAAAGACAATAACAGTTTACAAAGCACAACATAGAAAACTAGAGACTGAGCAATACGATCCCCGGGGATTTAAATCTGGGGTCGATCTCAGATGTTCCGAAAAGGATGAGCAGATCCTGCTGTATATGTGACACCCTTTGGGAATTTTTTTTTCATCTGTTTTCCAATGCTCACGAATGACATCGAAGCTGGTTTTGACAGATGGATGGTAAGTAAGAACAAATGGAGTCCCTTTATTATTTTATTTTTATCGTTGTATTCTAACAGTTTACACCTTGGGATATTTATCGCTTTCTGAAAACTTGTTTGAATATTGTTTATAACTCCTTCTCTTTAAGCGGGTTTTGTTTTTATTTTATTTTTTCGTTGCATGAGGCCCTTTCCCTTCATTAAATTACAATCTCACATAACTACATACATTAAATGTGAGTTCAAAATTACAGTAAAGTACTTGCTTAATCTTTTTACATATGGTAAATAATGTGTTTATAAATACAAATAATTTAAGGGATACGTCATTATTTCAAAAGTTGTATTCCTTTTGTTATAAACATCAGTTAAAATACCTCTACTTTATAAAAATATTTGAATCGCAAAAAAAGTTTACTTGTGTTCGTACACACAAATACTTCTGATAGTGTAGAAAGGTCGAATAACACATAAAATATATACAAAGTTTTGACGATTCCTAAGTTCTTATTTTATATATACTTTTTTTTATCCATAAGATGATAACATTTTTTACTATTGTTCATTTTTGTTATGCACCTAATTCATTATATAAGACAGCTATTTTTCAACACACTGACAATCAATTGAAAGATACGGAAACACTATTTTGTTGCGAAAATAGCCATTTCATAACTAGTCAAGAGCGGAAAACAACCCCAACACAAGAAAAACAAAATCACAAAACTCGATAAACCAGTTGTGTGAAAAGTTTAATACTTATGATATATACAGTGTAGTGGGCGAAAAATCCAATTTAGTTAGTTGAATGTTAAACTTATATACCTCAGTGACCTTTTTTAAAAGTTTTTCGAAACACTGCTTAAAACCCAACATATATGTAGGTGTATTTGTCTTTAACACCGTGTCTTAAAACATGAAAACAAAGATCCGACAAATATGTTAAGGTTTTCTATTCTAAAATTCAAATGGATAAGTAGCAAGAGTGCTCTTCACCAACACATAAGGTCTATCTGTAACAAAGCTACAATGCATATACAATGTTCTTAAACAACAAAGGGTAGAGCTGACTATTTCAATTCTAATAAAATATGAAAAATAATTGAATATGAATATATTATTAAGACTCTCTCCTTGCCCGGCTTTGGCTATACTTGTTTGTCCTTTTTTGGTTAATAGCTCTTCGTCCTTTTAATAAGCTTTAGATTTTCAAATATTTTGACCTCGAGCATCACTGAAGAGACATTGATTGTCAAAATGTGCATCTGGGGCAGAAAAATAAGTACCGTTTATGTTATCATGGTAAAATAAAGTAGGTTTTAAAATACTTTTCAATTAACAGATGGATTAAAGTTTAGTGGCAATTATTTCATATATTCACTACAAGAACACAATCAACAATTAATAAGATTTGTAGGTTACTCGACTGAAGTCTAGAAATGTTTGGTACATTTGTACCACCAATTCATGTAGTGATATTCAATAGAAGCTTGCATGTTGCTTCTCGAACAGTACACTTACGGACCCATAAAAAAAGCATGCACTCACATGAAACAAACGACGGACATGAAGTCACAGTACAAGAAGATATGATTCAGTTTTCAGTTACTATTTTCTTGGATATATAATAGAATACTTGAAAAAAATGTTGGTTTTGTATAACTTTTCAATTTAGAACGAAGTAAAACGAATTTATTGTAAAAGAATATATGTGAAAATCATTTATGAAAAACACCCTGTCAAAGTGTGTTTGGAAGTTTTCCATGGTACATCAAATATATCTTTACTTTAAATACAATGTGACAGTTATTGATGTAATGAACAGTTTCCTACATAATACAATGATTTCATGTATAACAAGATTTTTTTTCAAAAGTTTTCTCTTTCATATGCAAACGATGAACAGAACTAAAGCTTTTCATTGATTCCTTGATGCCACGTCAGTTTTTAATGTATTGCTGATAGTTCAACTATTCAACGCAGATAATAAATCCTGTTATAGCTTGTGTATTCTTTTTGCGGAATCTAGTGAGTTAATTTAAGGAAAAGTTTATTCAATAACTTTGTTAGATTTCACATAAATATAGAAAATGTTTAAATTGGTTACGTTTCCATTTACTAGGGTACCACAAAATCATTGTTCACTCTACATTTGCATTCACATCAAAATGAACTTTTGTACATGTTGTTCTGAATTTTAAGTTTATATGACCACAACGTAAGTGTAAGCTACATATTCTTAAAGCTTTAACCTGTAACGAGACAGACAACAAATATAGGAACTCACCTGAGATTTGAGTCTTGTGTACTTTAGGAACAATGTCTCTATGCTGGTATAACCATTCGAAATATTTGTGTAGTAACATGCTATCAGTGTATGGATATGATAATTTGAAATCTGTTAATGCCTGTTTGAAATTGTCAGTCTTGTAGGTATTCAAATTGGAACAGAAACTATCACTAATGGAATAGGAAAAATAACAATTAATACATGATAAACGTTCAAATAACTACGTGAAATGGTTGATGGTTACAGAGAATTGCTCTTAAAACAGAACTTTTATTAAAATGTCATCTTATGTGTCTAACAGTGATATTTTTTTTATCCAGGAGGTATGATAAGACCGGAATACAAATCTGAAGCCATATGCCCCAAAAGTTAGAAGACCAACAATTGGGTCAAAGGTGAAGTGTTAGAGACTGTATGGTAAATATTCCGCCATAAAGCAATGGAAATAAACTCATCATAGATACCAGGATTGAAATTTTATAATTGCGCCGTCTTCAAAAGCTTCATCAGTAACGCTCGAATCAAAAAAAGTAAACGGCCAAATAAAGTACGAAGTTGAAGAGCATTGAGGTACAAAAATTCCTAAAAGTTTTGCCAAATACAGCTCTAAGGTAATTTATTCCTGAGGTAGAAAAGCCTTCGTTTTTCAGAAATTCAAAGTTTGGTAAACAGTTAATTATAATTTGAAACCATATCAATGATAATTCATGTCAACACAGAAGTGATGACTACTGAGCTGGTGATACCCAAGAGAATAAAATCTCTACCAGCAATTTCATCGACCAAGTGGTTGTAAATAAACTCATCATAGATACCAGGGTTGAAATTTATTTTTGCGCCAAACACGCGTTTCGTCTACAAAAGACTCATCAGTGACGCTCGAAAAAAAAAAAAAAAAGCATAAGGCAAAATAAAGTACGAAGTTGAAGAGCATTGAGGACCAAAAAATCTCCTTCATAGCAATGACAGCATTGTTATTTTATACAACAACGTTGTTAGGTTGATGAAACCTGAGCTAACCTTTTGAAAAAAACAATGGCAATTCAAAGGGTTATATTGTAGACATTTTAACTTTAAAATGAATACAATACATTCTTCGTTTGTTTCACAAGACCGTACAGTCACATAGCTGTAAACAATATAAACAAAATATATATATATATGATATTGTAATGCATCATTGATTATTAATAGCTTGCAGATAATTCATTGTAAATTTTAACATGATGATGTGTATATATATTCTTACTGTGCTTATTTAACAAAGTTCTTATAACTTTAAGTTGCAAAAATAGACTCTGCTTAATAAATTATAACATCTTAATAACATAAATCATACCAATTCTACTGCAGCAGATGCGCATCCTCTTTATATAAATTTCAAAGAGATATAACCTGTTCACAAATTCATTTCACTTCCTTTTATACATTGAAAAAAATAACGTACGTTGTATTCGACATTTGTGTAATCTTACTCTTGTGTCAACTGTGGTTTACATTTAAAAGAAGTTATGTCTTATACATTTGTACATGGTAAAGTATACACTAATTTATATTAATAAATATACATACTTCTGATTTAACTCTAACAGACTTTGCAAATTGGATTCCGTATGTCCGTGATTCTTTTCTCCTTTAAGCTTTTCTAAAGTTCTATGGAGGAAATTTTCAATTGAACAAAAATATAAATCTCTTTAATGATGTTCGCTACTCTGTTTTATGATAACAGGCGTTTTAAAAGACTGTTTTAAATCAATAGTATATAAATAAAGATATATTAAAAGAAGAACAAATGAAGGGTCCGTGTGCTTGTTTTCGAGACATAAGCCATTGAAAATTTGATGGAAAATAAATCCTTGTAGACATTTTAAACATTTAACATTGGCACCCTTTGTTTAAAAAATTTTGAAAAAATGACAAGGATTTTATAGTATTTTGAAATATGGCTTTTTAAACTATAAAATTTTGAAAAGAAAAGTAGGGGTTAGCAGAGATTTTTTTAATGGCACAACATGAATATAACCAAAGAATTCCAAATATCTTCCAATAATTGAAAAACAAGAGGAGCGAACATCCTTAAACAAAAATGTAATATCAAATGAGTTTCCTGTACCTCAGCCTATAGTTTTAACTGAAACTATGGTATCCAAACTAAAACTGTGTTCAAACAAAACGGTGCGTACTGTAAATCTACTTTCAATTAATTCCATTCAATAAACATTGTTTTCAAAATGCTGTGGTCACACCTAAACATTTTAATTATCTGTACGTGACAATTGTTTACACGAGCAAACTAAGAGTTTTTTTAATATGCTTGTCATTTAGAATTGAACTGGTTATTCCAATATCAACGTATGTAGAAGTAAGGCATCGACTATTCTTCTTTATTTTTGGAGGATTGGGTGGAACATGGTTTTTAGAATAACTTAACGGATTACAAATGTCTTTAAAAAAATAAATCCCAAGAAAACAAAAATAGAGTTGCCATTAACAATAACATCGACTTTTGAATACTTGTTTCTGCATCTTTTTGAAGTGAAAGTTTGTACTTATATTAGTCGAAAACAAATTGTTCCTCCTAAAACATCTCATCCCACACCCAAAGATGAATTTTCGGTGACTGAAAACACATGATCATTATTCTTACTTATATGACATTAAATCATCTAAGGATGTAACGATTAAATAACGTTTCACAATAATATTTTGTTAGATGAATAATTGACTATTTACACAAATATTCCCAATCAAAACTAAAGACAAACTGTAAAAAGCTCAACAAAGATTCTGACGAATTGGTAAAACTTTGTTGAATAAAATAGAATGATCAACGTAGATACAAACAGTTTGCTTTATGCATGTTATGAGAGATCAATTATATTTTATTAAAATCAACTTAAGCGTTTGGGAAACACTTATTTCAATGAATAACCGTCATTCCCATGGTAACCAACTGTGTTCCTCTCCTGTCCATGTGTTCCTTTATTCATATGAGGCAGATCTCATTAGAAAAATATTAAAGACGAATGAAAAAAAGCTAGCATTATAAATGTTTACGTTCCGCTGTATCGATGATGTACTTTCACTAAATAATTTAAAGTTTGTAAACCATGTTGAACGGATCACGAACTTGAAATAAACGATACCACTGATACAGGTAATGCTGCCTCATTGCTTTACTCGTATATTGAAATGAGAGGCAAAAGATACCAGAGGGACATTCAAACTCATAAGTCGAAAATAAACTGACAACGCCATGGCTTAAAAAAAAGACAAACAGACAAACAAAAGTATACAAAACCCAACATAAAACACTAAAGACTGAGTAACACGAACCCCACTAAAGACTATAGGTTGTCTCATGTGCTCCTGCTTCACATGTGGCACCCGTCGTGTTGCTCATTGTAGTACAAACCCGGTAATCTATCTAACTAATTCACTAGGTCACATTCGTGAAAAAGAGAGAGGATTGTTGTTTCAACATTATGAACATATTCGTTATCGTCTGTGAAACTCGTGATGTCGTCCATAAAATATACGAAGGGATAATTTCAACTTCACTGCTTGGAAATCTATGTTTAATAGCTTCCTTGTGAGCAGCAACCCTCTTTCAATGAAATTATGATAGGAAATACAAGCCCTGGAATATCGTATTAGCTAGGAAATATACTCCATACATGTACGTAGGCGCTGCTCTGATGTTGCTACATATAAATGGAAAGTTCACAATTGTAATCATCTCGTTTGTCGAAACCGTTTGTTTTCAGCCGAGCCTCATTGTCACTTTCTAGAGGTGAGTCGATATTATTTAATCAAATGTATACACATTTCAAATGCCACACTTATAAATGCTAAATATTATGGATGGCGTGCATGGTTCGGATAAATGTTTTTAAGTGAATTTTGAGTATGATGTTTGCGTTAGGTCAACACTAGGAACTATTAGCTTTTAGTACTTAACTTTTATTAATTACAGGGTAATGTTTTGAGTTTTGGACAAATTCATCGATATTTGACTGAAATCATGATAAGATTATACTTGATATTATTAGAAAAAATTCTATTTATAACCTATTATAAAATTCACGTTCAAATTTGTGTTTACTTAACCCACACAATGAACCATTATCTTCTGATCGAAAAAGGTAGGTGGCAAAACATACCACGAGAGAAAGTGTCCATTGTGCAGAGTTGCTATCGGTGACAAATACAACTATTTAATGGAATGCAACAGTCTACTTACAGATAGACAACTAATAATTGACAAGAAATATCCATCGAACTGTTATGTTTCAAAATTTAAAGTTATCATGAACCGAAAACAGAAACGTAAAATTTCAAATTGTGCCAATTTATTAGATTTATAAGTGACAAACTTGATTATCTATGATGTTTACCTGTCGGTTATGCTGCTTCTTATACCATTATAATGTATAACTCATGATTTTGTTTCCTCAACAAATGCACAACGCAATGTAATGTAAAATAATCCGTTTTTCTGTATATCTATTTTGAACTTATGTGATACCAAACTAAAATTATATAGACAAAGCCTACACTGATTATCGACTTTCTTTTTATATCAGGAGGTGAAAATGAAAAAAATAAAATACACAGAAGTTGACAAAATGGTTATACATGTAGCTTACAAAAGTAAAGATTTCGAACTTAAATACAAGTTTTATATTCTCGACATGCCATTTTTGTTAACCAAATAGGAGTAGATGGAGTGGGATGCTTACATTCGTCGTGCCATGTCTTTCCAATTCATTTTTGAATACAGAAGCTGGGTAATATGTGACAAATTAGATTAAATAACAAAAATCCATTTTGGTTGTAACAACTCTCCAACTTTTGGATAGTGTTTTATATACAATTAGTCTAGCTTTGACTAGAGGCATTTGATCTTATGCTGTCAAACCGTTTAATGGTACGCGACACAATTCATATGTCATTTAATTTTACCTTTTTTTCCAGTCTTCGATAGGTATTATCTGTAAGGGATATCCATGTTTATTCATCCAATCGAACACAAACCTGTAAAGTGCAATTTTAGAATCTGCATAGTAAGCTTTTATAATATATGTAGTGATTAATAGAAAAAGATTTGATGGTAAAAGGATAATTTAATTTGAAGAAACTGATGTTCATTGCGAACACTTTGTTTTCAATTTCAAATAATAACTGATGTCTTATATTTTTCTTTATTAAGATTGGATGAGACATTCGCTGTCAAACTTTTGAAATAATCATTTCTTCTTGAAAATTACATGTTGAGAAAAGGATTATAGAAAAGATTTTTATCCTTAAGTGCAGTCAAAAAAGGTCAAAAAGTTGCCTAATATATTCTGTTGGATGTCTTGATATAGCACGTAACTTCAGTGGTCTTTAATAACGCATACATATTTCTTTTTGTCTTAAAAAATTTGAATTGTCACATTTCCAAAATAACACTTCTTTGATGTTTTGTAATCCATCAATCATGTTTGTGTCAATTTCAAACTTATTATCGTATCTTGCAATACTAGCTCATATTTTCTCATACGACACTTTTTTTTGGAATAACATTTGTCAAAATGTTTAGGTCATTTGTTCATTGGCATATCATCAATAACACTTTACAATTTCAAATTTGCTTAACAATATCGTATTGTTCTGTAAAAATTAGAAATAAACTTTATTTGCATGTCCGTACGCGTAATAGTACATACGTTAACTAATTAAAAAATAATCCTCTTCTTCATTGTTCAAGTTGTTTCTGATATCAGAAATTTAAAAAAAGTGCTAAAGTTAAAAGTGATAAAAATAAAACTTGAAACTGAACGGAACTTGATCGTACATCCCACAGACAACATTGTATTACTGAAGTACAGTGACAGAATAAGGCAATGCAAAAAGGTTTAAGTTGATTACTTTTATTATTAATAATGTTTTTTTTAAGTTTTATGCTGTAACATCTAAACAAATCATTCTCTCATTTGTTAATTGTTAAGAATTTTCATTTGTTTATTTCAAAGAATTTATAATATTTTAAGAGCAAAATCACTGCCGAACATTTTGATTGAACATTCCTCACTGATTCATCCAGTCCATTGAATACTTTTGCTTTTAATTTTCGCTGCTATTCATGACGTCTTATATATCGTATAGCATGTTGATCTTTCTACTAAGGTGGCCGATTTGGAAAGAAGAAAACTAGAAGTGTTCCGGGTTTTTTGAAAACAGACAATTAATAAAGGCAACAGTGGTATACCGCTGTTTTAAACCTTTTTTTAGTATATATCAAATGCACTTTATAAATGTTTCTTTTTTAAAGACAAGCATATCCGTCTTACAGTCAAATCATTTTATTTACCTTGAATGTAAAGGTTGGTCATTGATAATGTGGTAAGTCTTCCCGAGAGTAGTAGACAGGTTATATGTACAGCGAACAATAAAATCAGCCACTAAGTCTACAGGGGTCATTTCCATTTTCCAGTCAACATCGGGTGCAATTTGATATTTAGCACATACTTGAAGCACTAAGAAAGTATCATTTTGATCATTCCAGATTCCCTGTTCCCTGTCACCAGACATATTACCTGCCGAAGATGTCAATGAATCATCATTAATGTCAGATCTGAATAATTCAGAAATACTTGAGTCCTGTCTCAAGATATATTGAAATATAAGATATAAATATTTGAAGGTTGAAGTTAAATCAGATCAGTCGAAACAATGTTAATCTATTGTTTTGTACTTAGAAGCAATCAAATTCAGTTCAAAAGATAAGATGTGGCCAAAACCCACCTAACTAGTAGAGGGAAAATCAATCACTGCAACACTATTTTTATTTGTCTTTGAAAGTCTTTTATAGCCAAGTATTTATAAGACTATTTTAAATATAGAAGATAACCATAATAATGGAAAATATGGTGCTGGTAAATATTTTGACTCTGAACGTTTTCTTTCAATTTATACGTCAATACAATGATTAATTTTCGTTTGTCATGGTTTTGTGTTACTATTCCGACAATTCGCTAGCATTCAATTTATATCTGTTCAGTCTATTTTCAGACTGTTAAGAAGTTGTAATTTTCTGTACACATAAACAACATACTGAATAGTCGAAAAATCTACTTAACAATACTGAATCGGTTGCTAGCTAATTATATGAACAGTTTTAAATTTACCACAGTCAATAGAAAGTAAACTAAAAGTATTGAAAAATTATTAGTTAGACTTTTCAGCTGATAAGAGCCAAATGTCTGCTTATGAGTAACATTCATGTACTAATGACCGGTAGTAAGTAGCAATTTTGAACTTTTAACAATTGAAGGTCTGAACTTGATATTAGAATAAAACGAAATGTTCATAGTACCTAATCTATAAATAACGAAAGGGATCGCTTTCATTCCTGCTATACGGATCAATTGTTCTGCTACCCACTTAGATTTTGAGTATCCATCAGTTAGCTCTTGATCAAAGTGCTCTATGTTCTCATCTTCGGAGCAATTTAGCTTACCATTAGGGAAGACTGCATCAGTACTACAATACAAAACTAAAATATTCAGAAAGTGTTCAGGTAATAAGTTTGAATGTCACTCTGGTATCTTTCGCCCCTCTTTTGATACATTTTTACTTCTGAGTAAGCATTCAGCCTATTATAAATAGATACGATAAATATACTTTTTTATATGAATTCATCAAGTGAATTTTCTGGTTTCGTGACAGCATATCACAACCTTTAAGTATTAAACAACTTTAAAGCTTCAATATTATTTAATATAACATGAAAATGGTACTACAGCAATAGCATTGAAGGTAATTAAAGATAAATGCTCCAAATAATAAAAAAATAATGCTAAAATTGTTCTATTCAATTTCTATTAAAATTGACCCAAGACAATTTGATTGTACTGCTCTAGTGCTTTCACGAATATAGTTGGTGTTATCAAAAAAAAAAAAAAAAATGTTGACAAAATGACAAACTCTCTGGATAATGATCTATTTGAAGTTTTTATACCCGTAAAAAATTAAATGGGAAAACTAAGGAACAAAATACTAGTTTTTTAATAAAAAAAAACTTGTTTAACCTGTCACATTATTTTTTAGCTGGTTAAAAAGTATCTTGGCAATTCTTATTTGTTGGGAATATGATGGCAAATATAAAAAAAAAAGAAGTAGTATATGATTGCCAATGAGACAACTCTTTACAAGAGAACAACGTGACACAGAAATTAACAACTATAGGTCGCATTACGGTCTTCAACAATGATCAAAACCCATACCGCATAGGCAGCTATAAAAAAAACCCGAAATGACACAACATTCAAAACGAGAAAAAAAGACGTCCTAATTTATGTACGAAATAATAAACGAAAAAATGCATGTATAACACTGCAGCAAACGAAAACCACTGAATTACAAGATTCTGATTTTGGACAGTAACAAACATAATATGGCCGGGTTAAACATTTTAGCGGGCGCCCCTAACAGTGGACAGTGTTGTAACAGTACATCAAGAAAAAACTATAAAATCAGTTGAAAAAGGGTAAACTCATGTGATGGATGCAAATAGAAATACACCTAACAAAAACACGGTGGACGTAGACTGGTACTTGTACAACCCAACAAAAATTCACTTAGTACAGATCTGACATTACGTTCAAAGCCAATAACAACTAATTAAAAATCATGCATCTAAGGAAACCTATAGAAAAGAGCTTAACCTTGTTAACATATAGTATGGATACTTTACAATTGTAGCGACTGTGTTTTGACCTCTAATATTTTAGTAACATTTTCTCATTGTTTGGGTAATATCTCACTGACATATGTATTTATATCGTTTTATCAATACTTCATTGTTTTATATTTTTATTTATATTGCAATGCCCTTTTTATTTCTTAAAAATACAACATTTTAAACATTGTACATACGCTAAATATTTTACAAATAACCTTTTTATGCATATACAGAACGTAAAGAAATATTCTTTGTAGATAAATATTTGGCGAAATATTTTCTCAGTTGTATAACTCATTCTTTATTTCTGATATAGTTTTGACAAATTCCCTTTCCACACATAGACTTTGCCATGAATAGTTAAAATTCTCACTTAGACTTCAGTGTGTCTAATGTTTTATTTTATAAACAAGCACATGGATACTAGTTTTTTCTATTTATTTCAAGTGTTAAACATTTCCGTTACGCTACAAATGACAGCATTTGTTTCAAGTTTTGAAGACATTTTTACACACAATACAAAAACAAACATATAGATATCTATGTATGTTAAATGTACCTGATATAATGTACGGGCTTTATTTTACCAGTACAAGAGAACATCACAACATTTTCTGTTCCAGTCACATTTGGCGCTACAAAAGCCTGAAACAAACGCATTTGTGTCAAAGAAATCACCAAGATGGCCACTACGTCTGTTTTTATTTCAATAATGTACAACATTTTAAATGTTTACTACAAATTATGTTAAACATCGAGTAGGAAAACGGAATACAACCACTTGCCAACAACGTCAAACCAGTATGAAAACAAGACATATTATGCAATTCGGGAATGGCGAATAAGAATTTGGGAGTTGAATCATAGTTTTTAAATTTGCTTCAGCGTTATGATTTTTTGTTTTGTTTATATAAATTGGACATTTTGATTATAAACCAGAGATTTAATATATCGCAAAACTTTTCAAAGCTGAGATTTCTTTAAAATGTATATGTAACTGGAAGGTCAATTATTGAAAGCTTATCAGTTTGTGGTCAGGTTTACTTTTGAAATTCCATACTAATTATGTTAATACAGCAAATATATTCCACAGTTCAACTAAAATGCCATAGAAAAACTTTACGCCAACGTACATTTTCAATGTTCATTTTATGTCATTTTGTTTTGAAATTCTAATTAAACAGCTTAATATACGTCTTAATCCTAACCATATGATCTATCTATAACAATTAAACGCTCCCTATACATGCTGTAGAAATCCTTTTTGAATGTTAATTTTTCAATTTTTTTTTTCTCAAATTTAAGATTTTTTTTTTGAGGTTTTATTTTATGCTTCGCACATATATGAACTATTCTTGTCATTCAGATAAAAAATACTTTACCGGATATGGTTGGACTCTGTTTACATAAGCTGCGGCATGTATGATGAAATCTATATTAGTTGATTGCTGATAATATGTTTCATCCGTCATACCAAATTTCATCAATGATACATCTCCTTTAATAAATATTCTCAGTTATCATTTACGTTAATTTCTAATGCGGCACAGACACCAAATGTTAAATAAAATGCTTTCTAATAATTAAGACCTTGTAATTTAGATAACCAGTAATTAAATCTAATAATATCAGTAGAAATTTCATTACGTTGTTGCTCGTATTTAAAATGTTAAATAGAATTATTCGCACTGTTTATTCCAGGTAAGGTCATTTCAACTTAGTAATCTCCCTTTTCCAAAAAAAGAGCGAAAATACCTACACAACTGGCAATCATTAATTGAATTAAAACAGACAACACTTAACACGACGAAAAGACAAACAACAACAAAACATTGCATAGAAATATAAATCATCACCAAAATAACACCGGAAAAGTAACATATTAGAGTGAACTGCTCTTTGTGTGACACCGTCGTATTACAGAAACATTTAACCGTGGTCGTGTTATAACCGACGAATAAAAAGCTAGAGTGTGGCTACCAATAACGGATCATATTCCTGGTCATCTGTGATAACGGCTGATAAAATCCGTACTTAACCTGTACCATTTGAAACTATTGATGGACCAGCTTTCTTGTACGTAATTATTGTCCTTCAAGGAATTCATGATTGGAAAGTTGGGGCCCGTTGTAGCTTGCTGTTCTGTGTGAGCCAAGGCTCCGTGTTAAAGACCGTTCTTTGACCTACAGTTGGGTGCAGACCAAGCATTACATAAAGTAAACGCAAGTTAACGCCGCGTGCACATATTTCGTTAGTTAACTTCAATTTTCGCGTTTACTAGTAAACGCGTGTTTACTATAATTACGTTAACGCAGTCAAAATGGAAATTTCTAATGTCTACCCGAGTAAATGGACGTTTACTCTGTGTCCGTTTAGTCAGTAGTAAACGGGCGTTTACTTCATATTTCACAAATTTATTTGTACGTGCACTTCAAAGTAAACGGGCGTTTACTACAGATTTCACAAGTGTATTTTTACGTGCACTTGAAAGTAAACGCGCGTTTATTTTTCGCGTTAACAGATTGTGTAAATTAAGAAATATATTTCGTGTTCATTTGTACATTTATTTTATCAAAACGACTTTTATCTTAATATTTTACGTATAAGTGTTTCAAACAAGAACAATTCAAAATCACTTTTAATTCGAAATATTAACTTTTATTGAACTACAAAATATCAGTTCCAATAACTTAAATGAGTAGCATATTTTTTATATTTCCTTTTTAAAGTTACATATACAAATATCAAAGGTTATCCAACACATCGGAAAAATATTTTTGTATGATGGAATATAAACATCATGGTTAAGGTTGCTTCTTTCCCCATTTTTAACAGTCTCTCCCTAAACATAACTCTATGCATTTAATACATGGATTATTAATCGTAATTCACCTTGTTTGCCTTGGATTTACATGATATATGATTCTGATTTGCGAAATGTTCAAACAAAAGTTGTACAGTGTATATATAGGGATATTAATTAACTGTTGTATAAGTATGTACTTTTGTACCATCTCGTCAATTTAGACAGACTTATCCATAACGAGACGTCCGAAAAATATACTCGATTTGAACATGAATGAAATATTTGCCCCTGGAAACAAAATCAATCAACCTACATAATATATTAACAATATACTATTACAAAAAGAGAACTTCTCATACTCATCATTATAAAGTACAGGAATCAGTCATGTGAGTGTTGGATGATGACGGTTCATTATTATGGATACAGCGAGGAAATCATGGCACTCTTAATTGATGTAGACAAAATTTTGTAGTCATCGTGTTCAAATATTGCTTTTATCTTTATTATACAATCTGTCCTGACATAGAAATATTATTGATTTATGATGAGACCATATATATTTACATTATAAAGTGTAAGTATGGTCAGTTTTGGTTGATGCAGACATATTACTTTGTTATAGGAGTCTTCCAGAGGTATCAAAACTACTGAATTTGTTCACGGTTCAATATTTTGAATAAAAAGAGGACATGCTGGTACTCTAAATTGAAGCTGAAATTGTTTTGTATTCATTTTTGTTTCAATATTGCTGTCATCTTTATTATACAATCTGTCCTGACATAAAAGTATTACTGATTTACTATGTGAATATAAGATTTACATAATAAAGTCCAAATATGGTCAGTTTTGGTTGATGCGGACAAATAATTTTGATATACAAGTCAGTCTGAGATATGAAAACTACTGATATTTGTTTACGATTCAAAATTTTTAATAAAAAGAGGACTTGCTGGTACTCTAAATTGATGCGGAAAAGTATTGCTGTCGTTTGTATTATATAGTCCCTCCTGACATAAAAATATTACTGATTTACTATGCAGCTATATAGATTTACATATTAAAGAGCAAATATGATCAGTTTTGGTTGATGCGGTCAAATATTGTTATACAAGGCATCCAGAGGTATCAAAACTACTGAAATTTGTTATCGGTTTAATATTTTGAATGACATAAATAAAAAGAGGAAATGCTGGTACTCTAAATTGATTCAGAAATTTTTTGTAGTCATTGTGCTCCAATATTGCTGTCATCTTTATTATACAATCTGTCCTGACAGAAAAATATTTCTGATTTACTTTGTCAATATAAGATTTACATAATAAAGTCCAAATATGGTCAGTTTTGGTTGATGCGGTCAAATGATTTTGTTATGCAAGTCAGTCTGAGGTATGAAAACTACTGATATTTGTTAACGATACAATATTTTCAATAAAAAGAGGACTTGCTGGTACTCCAAATTGATGCGAACAAAATTTGTAGTCATTGTGTTCCAAAATTGCTGTCATTTGTATTATACAGTTCATCCTGACATAAAAGTATAACTCATTTACTATGCAGCTATATAGATTTGCATGATAAAGTGCAAATATGGTCGGTTTTGGTTGATGCGGTCAAAAATGGTCAGTTTTGGTTGATGTGATCAAACAATTTTGCTATATGTGTCAGTCTGAGATATCAAAACTACTGAAATTTGATTACGATCCAATATTTTGAATAAAAAAAGGACATGCTTGTACTCTAAATTGATGCTGAAATTTTTTTGTAGTCATTTTTGTTCCAATATTGCTGTCATATTCACAATGTATTATACAATCTTTCCTGACATACAGTCAGGGGTACTACTTGAACAAGTAATTTTTATTTACTTGAAAAAGTAAAAAAAAAATATACTTATATAAGTGAATTATTATGTTTAAATAATCTCCCCTTATTTTTCTGAAAAATTCACTCGTATAAGTGAATTTTTTTAACAATCCCACAAAAATTCTCAAGTTTTGAGATGTAAAAACATGCCTTTAATAATTTTTCTTAGCTTAGCTCATACTATTTTTATTAGAATTCAATGTTTCATCTCATTAATTCAACAAAGAAACTGATTGTATAAGTATCCTTCAAATTTACTTATTCAAGTATATTAGTATTACTACTTCAAGTAAATGAAAATAACTTGTACTGTCCTGACATAGAAATATTATTGATTTATGATGAGACCATATATATGTACATTATAAAGTGCAAGTATGGTTAGTTTTGGTTGATGCAGACATATTACTTTGTTATACCAGTCATTCTGAGGTATCAACACTACTGAACTTTGTTCACGTTTCAAAATTTTGAATAAAAAGAGGACATGCTGGTACTTTAAATTGATGCAGAAATTTTTTTGTAGTCATTTTTGTTAAAATATTGTTGTCATCTTTATTATACAATCTGTCCTGACATAAACATATTACTGATTTACTACATGTACTATGCGATTATAAAATGTACATAATAAAATCCAAATATGGTCAGTTTTGGTTGATGCGGACAAATAATTTTGATATACAAGTCAGTCTGAGATATGAAAATTACTGATATTTGTTTTTATAAAGTGCAAGTATGGTTAGTTTTGGTTGATGCAGACATATTACTTTGTTATACCAGTCATTCTGAGGTATCAAAACTACTGAACTTTGTTCACGGTTCAATATTTTTAATAAAAAGAGGACTTGCTGGTACTTTAAATTGATGCGGAAAAGTTGTTGTAGTCATTGTGGTCTAATATTGCTGTCATTTGTATTATATAGTCCCTCCTGACATACAAATATTACTGATTTACTATGCAGCTATATAGATTTACATATGAGAGTGCAAAGATGGTCAGTTTTGGTTGATGCGGTCAAATAATTTTGTTATACGAGGCATCCTGAGGTATCAAAACTACTGAAATTTGTTCACGATTCAATATTTTGAATAAAAAGAGGACATGTTGGTACTCTAAATTGATGGGGAAAATTTTTTGTAGTCATTGTGTTCCAAAATTGCTGTCATTTGTATTGTATAGACTCTTCTGACATAAAAATATTACTGATTTACTATGTGGCTATATAGATTTACATATGAGAAAGCAAATATGGTCAGTTTTGGTTGATGCGGTCAAATAATTTCTTTATACGAGACATCCTGAGGTATCAAAACTACTGAAATTTGTTCACGGTTCAATATTTTGAATAAAAAGAGGACATGCTGGTACTCAGAATTGATGTAGAAATTTTTTTGTAGTCGTTGTGGTCCAATAGTGCTGTCATCTTTATTATACAATCTGTCCTGACAGAAAAATATTACTGATTTTCTTTGCCAATATAAGATTTACATAATAAAGTCCAAATATGGTCAGCTTTGGTTGATCCGGACAAACAATTTTGTTATGCGAGCCAATATTACTGTCATTTGTATTATACAGTTCATCCTGACATCAAAATATAACTCAGTTACTATGCAGCTATATAAATTTTCATAATAAAGTGCAAATATGGTCAGTTTTGGTTGATGCGGTCAAATATGGTCAGTTTTGGTTGACGTGGTCAAATAATTTTGTTATACGAGTCAGTCTGAAATATCAAAACTACTGAAATTTGTTTAGTATTCAATATTTTGAATAAAAAGAGAACATGCTGGTACTCTAAATTGATGTGGAAAGTTTTTGTAGTCATTATGATCAAATAATGCGGTCATTTGTATTATACAGTTCATCCTGACATCAAAATATAAATCATTTACTATGCAGCTATATAGATTTGCATGATAAAGTGCAAATATGATCGGTTTTGGTTTATGCGGTCATATTATTTTTCTATACGAGTCATCCTGAGGTATCAAACATACTAAAATTTGTTCACGGTTCAATATTTTGAATAAAAGAGGACATGCTGGAACTATAAATTGATGCAGAATTTTTGTTATAGTCATTGTGTCCCAATATTGCTGTCATCTTTATTATACAATCTGTCCTGACAGAAAAATATTACTGATTTATTATGCGAATATAAGATTTATATTATAAAGTCCAAATATCGTCAGTTTTGGTTGATGCGGTCAAATATTTTTGTTATGCGAGTCAGTCTGAGGTATGAACACTACTGATATTTGTTGACGATTCAATATTTTGAAAAAAAGAGGACATGCTGGATCTCTAAATTGATGCAAACAAAATTTTGTAGTCATTGTGTTCCAATATTGCTGTCATTTATATTTTATAACTTCCTTCCTGACATAAAATATTACTCATTTACTATGCGGCTATATAGATTTACATAACAAAGAGCAAATATGGTCAGTTTTGGTTGATGCAGTCATATAATTTTGTTATACGAGGCATCCTGAGTTAGCAAGTCTGAGATGTAGAAACTGTTGGATTTTGGTGATGATTGAATTATTTGAATAAAAGAAGGACATACGTGAAATATTTATTTGTGAAGAAAAAGAAATTTACTATCACGATTAATTTTCAATTAATCAAAGAGATGTAATAACTTTATTAATTAACTGCAGTCGTTAATATGTCAATCGAAAATGACCAGTTGGTCATTTATTTTTGATGTATCAATTATCTTTTGATATTTAAGGTCAGTGTATCCAGGATACGATGACAATCTGGGTAAACGCACGTTTACTACAAACAGTAAACGTGCGTTTAATTTTGACGAAAATAGAAGACGAGCCTTTTTTCACGTTCACGCGGAAGTAAACGCGTATGTAAACGCCCGTTTACTCTTTACAAAATTAGAAGACGCGCCGTTTTTGCGTTAACGCGGAGGTAAACGCGAAAGAAAACATCCGTTTACTTTTTATGTCTACTGAAATTTCGGAGTTAACGCACAGTTAACGCGGCGTTTACATGAAGTGCACGCGAGTAAACGCCGCGTTAACTTTTCCGGCCCGTTTACATGTAATGCTTGGTCTGCACCCAACTGTATGGTTTACTTTTACAAATTGTAACTTGGATGGAGAGTTGTCTCATTGGCACTCATACCACATCTTCTTGTAGCTATATAATCATACATATAGTGGTAGAATATTTTCACGCATCAATGCAAATTTTTACCCAGAGGAAAGTTAACTATCCGGAAGAAAAGTTCTGATGATTTTTTGTTTATTATAATAAAGGAGTGAAAAACTGAAATATGAAACATAACTACTGAAATAAACACTTATTTTTCAAATTCATGTCTACAAGTAGACGAATGTACTGAATGTTTTAAGTAAATTGTCAGTGCCATCTTATTTTTGTAGATATGATATTCTATGCAAATTCTTCTGTAGATTTTTCATTTCAACCATAAAATCCTACCGTGAACAAAATCCACTCTTTCGTCAAACTTTGACTGCACCAAAGTTTGTTTTTCTGAAGGGTTGCCTTTAGATGTTGGCAATATTCCAAACAAACGTAATGACTTTTCAAGTCTTCTATATGGTGTCGTGTCTTGTACTTCCCTCAACAAACATATTATAAAACACTGAAACAATATAGAACTACAGGCAAAATAGCAATTATAATCTAATGTGAGTTTATCCTTAATACTCATTGTGGTATATCCGCATTATATCACAACCTTAAATTTCGCTGGATGGGCTGTCATGTTCTAATCTGGTTTAAATTTCTACATATAAACGCCTAAACAGTGAACAAACTAACACCAATATTAAAAAGAAAACACTAAATAGTATTATCTATAAATATTTCTGATAACAGATATCCTTTATCAGTATGATTATAATCATATCAATCTATTCTGACTATAACAATATGTTGATTCAAACCATTAAAACCGAACCCAATAACGCTTGTAAATTTATAAAATTTCGGAATTGTAATGATACAAGGACACAACATTAATACGAAATAAAATAAACATCTCCACAAAAAGTAAAATCATCAAATTAATGAACTCAGAACGAAACAGATGACATCATTTCTAAATAAATATTTATTATATTAGTTTCTAATCTCTGAACAGAGAATGCTTCAATTTATAATAGTTTATTCAAGATACAACTGAACAAAGAGTTGTTCTTCATGTTCATAAATATGATGTTAATACGAATTCTTATATATCATACAAATACCTTTGATATTGCGCTTCCAACTTTATATTTCGTTTCCCAATTATTTAGAAAAAATAGAGTAACATTATCTATTCAATATAAAATTATTTATTATATTTTTCTACAAACGCTCTATTCCTTAAAATTAATCTTGTAAATTGTAAACTATGTACATGTTGCATCATGCCATGGAACATTTACTTTTGTGGTTGTTATCTTGTAGCCGACATTTGGCACAATCTGAAATTTGGATTTTTGATATAGTGGTAATGAAGTTCCACTTAATTTGGATTTTTTTTAACCTGTTCTTTGTCCTGTAAGAAAACTAAAAATGAAATTTCAAAAAGAAAATAACGTTATTTTACTTACAAAATACCTTATTTCAAATCTTCAATGCAATATGTAAAACCTCATATGAAAGAACTTCAAAATTACATGAAAGTTAACTTTATTTTAGAAAAAAAAAGTATATGCACGTGTTAAAGAATTTAAATTGTTTGGAAATCTGGGCTAGGGCCAAAGGTTAAATTTAAGTGAAGTTAATCCATATACATACATGTATATGTGCATAATTAATGTGTATAGAATAAAATTGAGAATGGAAATGGGGAATGTGTTAAAGAGACAACAACCCGACCATAGAACAGACAACAGCAGAAGGTCACTAACAGGTCTTCAATGCAGCGAGAAACTCCCGCACCCGGAGGCGTCCTTCAGCTGGCGCCTAAACAAATATATTTACTAGTTCAGTGATAATGAACGCCATACTAAACTCCAAATTGTACACAAGAAACTAAAATTAAAAATAATACAAGACTAACAAAGGCTAGAGGCTCCTGACTTGGGACAGGCGCAAAAATGCTGCGGGGTTAAACATGTTTATGAGATCTCAACCCTCCCCCTATACCTCTAGCCAATGTAGAAAAGTAAACGCATAACAATACGCACATTAAAATTCAGTTCAAGAGAAGTCCGAGTCTGATGTCAGAAGATGTAACCAAAGAAAATAAACAAAACGACAATAATACATAAATAACAACAGACTACTAGCAGTTAACTGACATGCCAGCTCCAGACTTCAATTAAACTGATTGAAAGATTATGACTTCATCATATGAATATCAGGAACAATCCTTCCCGTTAGGGGTTTAGTATCATACCATCATAACATATATGAGAAGAACATAACCCGTGTCATGCCAACAACTGGTTTTTAAATAAATGTGTTTAGTGCCGATGCAAAGACCCTATAAGTGAATCAATATTAACGCCAAAATATGCAATCTTTAATGACCTGACAACAGTATCGTAACTATATCCCTTCTTAATAAGTCTATTTAAAGGTTTTGTTAGCTTCAGAGGTGAATAATGACATTTTTGTGCTTTATAAAGAATATTTCCATAAAAAATTGGATGTGAAATACCTGAACGTATAAGAAGTCTGCATGTTGAGCTATATTTACGAATGATGTCCTTATACCGATGATGAAATTTAGTAAATGTTTTGACTAGTTTGTGATATCGAAAACCCTGGTGTAATAATTTTTCAGTAATACATAAATTTCTTTCGTTAAAATCTAAAACATTGTTACATACACGAGCGAATCGTACAAGTTGAGATATATAAACACCGTAAGATGGTGACAAGGGAACGTCACCATCTAAAAATGGATAATTAACGATAGGAAATGAAAAATCATCTCTTTTATCATATATTTTAGTATTAAGCTTTCCATTAATGATATAGATATCAAGATCGAGGAAAGGGCAGTGGTCATTGTTAGTATTAGCATTATTTAAAGTAAGTTCAACAGGATAAATTTCTTTAGTATACACACTGAAGTCGTCATTATTGAGAACCAAAATATCATCCAAATATCTAAAAGTATTATTAAATTTGTGTATCAGATGTTGTTTCGATGGGTCTTTGCTGATTTTTGTCATAAATTGTAACTCATAGCAATACAAAAAAGGTCCTCAATAAGTGGTGCACAGTTAGTTCTAATTGGAATTCCGATAACCTGACGATATACGGAATCTCCAAAGCGAACAAAAATGTTATCTAGTAAAAATTCAAGGGCATATATAGTATCAAAGCATGTCCAATTGACATAGTTTTTTTGTTTATTGCTAATAAAAAATGACCTAAAAGAGTTTGAACATATATATTCACATTCTGACTTTTTAAATGCCCATTTAATTAGGTGTGAGAATTTTTTCTTAATGAGAATGTGAGGCAATGTGGTATATAGGGTAGAAAAATCAAAACTTTGAACAGATTCAAAATCACCAATATATGTATGTAATTTATCAAGTACTTCCAACGAGTTCTTGACACTCCAAAAGTAATTAATTCCACTATTTTCGAAGGCCTTATTTGAACAATTTATTATCAGGTTTTTGATTGTACCAAGTGTACTGGTAAGAAGAATAGACAATTAAGTAGTGGAACAATGGCTTGAAGACGGAATGAATCTATATTTGTAAGGTGTTTTGTGTAGCTTCGGAAGCCAATACAAAGTTGGGACTTTCATTGTATTTGGTTCTGCTTGTAAAGCGGTAGCTAAAAGTTTATGTTTGTTACAGATGTCGTTTTCTAAAAATGGAGTCAGTTGGAATGTTGGTGAATTGGTGATTTCTTTTTTCAGAACCTCAATGTAAAATTACGTCAAACAATAATAATATTATTAGCAGCTTTATCGGCCGGGACAAAAACAAATTCCTTGGCTAGTTCTTTTAGTTTATGTTTGATACGAGAAATAGGTTTATTGTGGTTATTGTTAAGAGTTAAATGTTCTTTAAAATGTTGAATACGTATATCAACTATGTTCATTACTGAATTAAAAAAAGATTTTTTGTCAGCTTTTTCCCGTTTTATCCATTTCAAACAGTAAGTATGGAGTGATTCGTGGATGATATTACGACACTCATTCCAATTAATAATTGACGGGGGACGATATTTAGGTCCTTTACTGAAAACTGATTTTAACTCTCGGTCTTGAACGATGTTAAGATGTCCTGTTATAACATGGGAAATGGGTCCATAAATGTATTCGGAATTACTGTATATATATATTTAAATGTAAATGTATGGGTGTGTGTATGGGTATGTCTAAATATTTATTTGTTCTTGTCATATTATTACATTTTATATCATATATTATTAATATTGATATTATATTAATGAGCATTTTATTATTATACTTAATCCATAGATTTAATAATGCAATAGCATATTATGCTTACATTTGTAGCTTGCTTAATGTTTGCGCTCGAAGATAAATATGTGTAAAAATATGCATTTTCATTAAAAAGAAACAAGAATACCTGCAACCCACCAACAGGTTTATAAATGATATAGTATTATGCTCTTTTTGCTATACTTACAAGTTTGTTATTATATTGTAGTTTTTATGATGAAAGTGACAATCTATTAAAATCATGAAAAGAAAATGAAAAAATTGATATACTTTAACGTCATTGACAAGATACTACTACGAACATATTTTCAAGTATAAAATATAACTTGTATAGAAAGTATACTGGATTATCATATACTACAAAAATTTGTTGAAAGTCACATCCCTGCTTCGACTGAAAAACACTTGTGCATCAAATAAAACTTTAAATTAAAAAAAAGAATAGGCAAAGTATCGAAATTTTAGGATACATAACAGTGAGATTCAGTATCAATAATTTTATTTTTACATTTCTTTTAAATAAGCTTTATTGATTTTTTCTCAATTCAGATATCTTGTTTGCTCACACAAAATATGAAATCTGGTCAAAGATACTCACCTAACAGAATTATATCTACCAATTACCAAACACAAGAAATTAAAAAGTAAGCTGAAATTTTCTGAAATATACAATTTGCAAGGGGATATTATCATAAGTTGTTATAACTTTTTGTATTTCATTTAAAGATTACCTCTGTCTGAAGTAGCAGTTCTCTCAGTATGAAAGATCCAAGAAATCCAGTAGCACCTGTCAGTAAAACTATTCCATGAGTGTAGTTTCTGTTATTATCTAGGTTATGTTTTTGATACCAAAAACCTTTTATCTGTTGATTAAAGCTACAAGAATCAATAATTAAAATTAAATGTCAAAAAATGTACACAGACATGTCAAAGGAATAAAACTTTTACATAAAACATTACAAAGAAATTTAGAATTTGGAATGTTATGCGACTGTCATACAAGTGAGAGGTTTAGCTAGCTTTTAAACAAGGTTTAATCCACCATTTTCTACATAAGAAAATGTATGTACCACGTTAGGAATATTACAGTTGTTGTCTATTCGTTTGATGTGTTTAAGCTTTTGTTTTTGCCATTTGATAAAGGACCTTCCGTTTTTGAATTTTCCTCGGAGTTCAGTATTTTTGTGATTTTATTTTAAGGACCTTTATTGAGGGAGATTATATTCAGTCATAACAAGTACTAATATATATCAGAGGAATATGAATATTTTAAAACAGACAATCTAATTATTAAAATTAAACATTTGCCATTGTCGTTGAATTGATTACAACTGTTAAGTATTAATTAAAAGTATTTAAAATTGTCATTTTTATTTGAAAGTTTTGTTCATTGCTTTTAATCCTTGTAATCCTTATATAGCACTGCAAACCGTTTCTGGATTTTTTCAACAGTATAAAACATCCTAACAATAATGATCATCAAATACAACTAAGTTTCATGTTTATGAAAATTCATACTTGACAATTTAATAATATCCTGCAGCATCCAAATTAATTTTCAATAATAGTTAACCCTTGAAAAAATAGTAATTAAAACTAAGCGGAAGCTCATTTGGTATTGAGACAATAATTGTTAGATAAATGCTACACCACCCAAAGTGCTGACCAAAATGTAGTTTATGAATAATTTCCATTGCAGTATATAACTTTTCATGAAACTTTACAATACACATGTTAAACTTGAGAGACGTTTTATTGGAAATTGCACTCTTTTATTCATTTTACCCAACCGAACTAAAATAGAAAGAATAGCTGTTCACATTTGTAACTTCTAATGATGTGCATATTGAGTATGATATCGTCAGTTCTGTTTTTAACTTTGATTTGTCTCTTACTTTCGTTTTAAGATAGGTGTATAAAGAGAAATCTTGGTTGAATTATCTAAAAGACATGTTAAAGGTGAGTAGGACGTATATATCACTGTTGTGCTCTTTTTTATATTGCTTACATATTCACAATTGTTACCAACTGCTGTCCTTAAGGCGTTTTCTCTTAATGTACAAAGTGTTAAATTCATGCTTTACTTTGAATTCATTATTTTGACTTTGTGACTAGTTGTAATTAATTTCAAATTCCTGTAGTTGAACACAACGCAAACACAGCTACCAACAAGATGCTGTAGCACATTGTGGACCTCTTATTCTTCATTTAATATATCTTTTTCATTCAAACTAGAATATAAATAGGAGTCGAGAGCTCGACAACTTTCAAAATATTGAAAATTTAATAAGTTCGGTTCAATATCAGCCTTCAGAATTTTTACGAAAATCAGGGCAGACATAGCAACCCACTTAAGACCAATAGACTCAAGGTTTGTAGTCTAGCTATATTTTTGGTTTACTTTGAATCAGAAAAAAAATCAAATTATTGTTGATTTAATACTCAATCTCTTTGTCGAATAAACTTTAAACAGTCCATTTTGAATTCTTCTAGTTGGTAGTTGGATCTAAGTGCAGTTTTGCCAACAGTGAAAAGAACAACCAAATCAGAAACCTCAACCAAGACATTGATCCTTTAAGATCAAGAAATAACTAGGCATTTATTCATCGTTTTTAGATAATGTCATCCTGCACATACATAATTCCTAATTTCAGATTTATTCATATGAGACCTGTTCAAATAAATATGTTAAAGTTTTGGATAAAAGTTTCTCAGAATCATCAATTTTCAAGTTTGAATTAATGTACGTCTTAAATGCCATTCGAAATTATTGTAAAAGTTTTACAAATATCAGATCCTCCAAATATTGGAAATCTCACGCCACCATGACAACGGATGCCTCTACATCAATGGGTCGGGGAGGTCATATATGACACAGATAGCACAATGAACCCAGAACGATTCGGAGAGAAACTTTAGATAAACGTCTTATACATGGAAGTAGTGATAATTAAAACAAAACAAACTCCTTATCCAATCTGAAGGCAAAGAATGAATTAAAACGTTGCGACAACTCCATATTGACACATGATATTCAAGCTCCGAAAACAGCAGACGTTAATGTTGGTGTACGTAGTGCAAGAAGAAGTGGTGTATTCTTAAAGAGAAGGTCTTTTAAAACATGTTCATCCTGGAAATATTGTTGAAAATATTTGTTCCTAGTTTTATAGACAACATGGACAACCAATTATTGAATCCGAAGAGGTCATTAGAGGTATTATTTGAAATTGACGGATGATTTTTTCAATTTCACAGAAGTGATAATAGATAATTTTTAAGTGTACACAGTCAGCATAGCCGATTTAGATCCAGACAATAATTAATTGGATTATTCAAACTATACAATAAGTGTACAAAGACAAGATCAGTTATGAAGGAAGCTCATAGCAATAAAGTCCTGCATAGACCATGTTTAACGATTATCATGGATGCAACAGACTGGAGTAAAGCGTTTCATTAAAGAAACATATCACCAAGTCTTTTTTTCTTAATTAATAATAAGAAAAGATACAAAAAATATAAAGACAAACATTATATTACCGACAAGATGCGGTGGGATAAGATTTTAAAAACATGAACAAATATAGAATAAACATATACAGTGCTTAGCTGATATATGTATATACAATTTTAAAAGGATCAGCATAGCAAGAAATGACAAAATACCGGAAAGATATCCAATTGTGTAAACCATCAGGTAAGCTTAACTCATTTAAAAAAATTCCACTTTGTGAATCAGATTATATATCTTTTTTCTTCAGAATACTATATTGTATACATGTACCCACTAAATTAAAGCAAATGCGCAAATGATTGCAATTTATGAAACTCTTTTACAAATAATTCCATACAGCAATAGAAAAAAAATAATTTCTTTCTGAATTACAATTATTGATATTAAACAATCCTTACCTGTTTATATTCCTCAACTTATGGCTGTTGACTTCACTTTTGAGGTTTACCTGCACTTCAGATATTTTAATGAGTTCTTCCGTCTTGTTATTTTTCTTTGCCTCTATATACTGACTCAGTATTTTAATGTTTGTGTACATAAATAAGTCAGAAACACGTAAATCAACTTGAAATTCTTTTTCTAACGTTTTCATTAGGTTTGCAGCTAGCAAAGAATTTCTGGAAAATAACATTTTATGTCTTTGATATTTCGCCATATAATTAATACCAGACTTAAGGCTGCCTAAACTTAAAAAAAAATCTATACAGTTTAGAAACATGGAATCATATGATTATATTTTGGCATGATCTAAATTGTTAAGGCTGATGATGATGTAGTTTAGTGAATTTTATTTAAGTACAGACGCAAATTCAGCAGATGCTGCTCAATTTTAAACTAGCTAGTAAGGAAATGTAGACCAGTCCAGCTCTATAATCTTGACATTTCGGGTTCGCCATCAACAACAATAATAACACCGTATCGTAAGATGTTTTTAAAGTTACGTGTGGTTGGAAAACAAATAGTTCACACATGTACATGATACACATACGCAAATAAGTATTAAAAATTAAGTACTCAAATGTATGACAATATTGGATATAATAGTGGTTCGATTAAATGCAATTTAAAAAAAAAACTTGAGAATTCTAACTTAAATTTGTTGTTGATAAATTTATTGAACTTTGGAAGATGAACATTCTGATTTTCTACTTTTTCATGGAAAGACATTTTGTCTTTGTTCTGATTATTATGTTTTTTTCTTCCGCCTAATTCATTTTCTTGCGCAGTAATATTATTTCACAAGGTGTCGCTTTGAAATTTGGTATATGATATCAAAAAGTTTATGAACATTTGAAACGGACCCTATTCAACCGAAAACTTTTTCTTGTAAGAGTTATCTCCCTAACACAGTTTTTTTGTGTCCTTTACTCCTTTGCGACCGTAAAATATTACGACATTTTTTTTTTCCAAATTGCTCGCAGTATCTTCAAGAGGTATAGTTTGGTTTTCACCGAAGCGTTCCGGAGACCCCAGATGAGAGGTATCCCCCTTATGCATTTGATATTAGTGTTATGCATTTTGTAAGTGGTTAACCATAAGTAAAAGAGACATGGAGTCTTTTGATTTGAGGTCATTGGTCAAGAAAAACCGGTCAAGGTCAAATGTCAAGGTCATATTTAAATATGTAGATTTTGACTTATTCTCACGTCTTTTCATGAACCGTTCAAGATATCGACAACATATTTTTATTAAATTGTAATATGAAAGATGTCGTAACTCAGAAAATTTGGTTGAAAGGGTGGGCAAACATTAAATGGGAGTTTCCAACCCTCTTATATTTAGAATCATGCGTATAGGGATATAACTAATTAACAATACATATTAAAGTTCTAAGGTCTTTTGATTTGAGGTCCTTGTTTATGACCTTGCAATTGAGGTCAATGTCATGTGCAAACATGACGTTCTAGAATTTGACATTTGCATTTACTTCATATCTATACATCATAAAGCCATATGATTTTGTGCTTTAGGTTACCAGCCACATGACGTTTGAAAAGCAAATCTGAAGTGATCTTGTAAACCGGAAGTGGCTATTGTTTTGTTCTTATTTTATGTTGAAGTATATAAAACAATATTTTTGAAAGCAGTGTCAAATAAACCATCAAATAATACCGCAAATGACATTTTTCAAACTGGAAGTAACAAATTCCCTCCCCTATTTTATCAAAATTGTGTAGAAACCATATATTTTCGGATTTTCGGAAACAGTAAAAAATGAGCTATCATATGATACTGGAAATGACATTTTAAACGGAACTTTAATATCAAAATGAATCTTTAGAAGTGGAAAGACCTACATTATGTAGAGAACAATTAGTTTTTAATTTGTTTATCATCATGTCAAGTGCAAAACATGAGACGCCAACCCTGTCTCGCTCCTTTGTGAATTCATGCAATTCCCTCAGTTTCTGTTTCGTACCTGTATTGTCATGCTAGTCAATCGAAAGGATATATTGGTTAATTGATACAGCTGAATTGGTCTGACTTGTCATTAATTTCCCGAATCAACACTCAAAATCGTTTTTAACAAATCAATTAGGAGTTATATATTGTATTATACAATAAAATGGGATAAAAGAGAAAAAACCTCACATTATTAATTAAAAAACAACAACTTGAAGTTCTCTTTACACCATTTAACTGATTGAAAGCTACCATACGTGATGAAAATCATCGTGTTTAGTGTATCATATTTTACCTCCTGTGTAATAATTATTTATGAAAATTTCGACTTAATTTCAAATAATATGACCATTTTCCTTGGAAAAAAATATGACTTTTCATGTTTCAAAAACATATCAGCATTTTTAGCGAATCCGTTTCGAGCTATACAAGTATCTATGATGCGGTTGTATCACAACTTCTGTCATGCCATTTCTACATTATATTTATATCGTATGCATGTACTTTGAAACAACAGCATACAGAAGTCAAGCTACAACAGCGATAATTTCACAGGTGAAGTGATTAAACATCAGCATGGTAAACGCTGAGTGTAAAAGTGATATAAGTTTCATTATCTCTTACTAAACAATCTGACAATTTAATATCTCAATTGGGGCTACGGTGTCCGAGTGGTCCAAGTAGTTACTACTGTAATCACTAGCAAATCAACACTGAGGTTGTGAGTTCGAACCCCTCCCGTGCGGGTGCACTCGACTACAATCTTAATTGACTAGGATTGTCAGTTTTCCTATCGAAGGTCGGTGGTTTTCTCTGGGCACTCCGGCTTCTTCCACCAATAAAAACTAGCCGTCCAAAAATAGCCCAAAAAGCAGTGTTTAAAATTGGCGTTAAAACACAAAAAAATCAAATCAATCAATCAATATCTCAATTATCATGTCAATCTTTACAATTTGGTTGACCTTCCCATCGTTATTTTAATGATATTTGCAAACGAGAGTGACAGAGTAATGCTCCTACAAATTAATAGTTTCTTGGACTCTTGGTTTTAAGCATTCATTCATAGATATATGTACTGTCAATCAAGGAATTGGGAAGTGATAGTTAATTAAACTGAGGCTGATTAAGATCCTTATATTCGAAGATCACACTTGTGCATTGTATTCTCCTTACTGAACATTTGATAGACAAAATATCAAACTTACATTGAATATGTTGAAGTATTTTGCACTGTTTTTAAATTTCCAAGTTGACTTTAAGTAACGCATGTATTAATTCACAAATTTACTATATAGAATTATTTACCCTCCTAATTCAAAGAAGCTGTCATCCAACTCTATACCTCGAATGTTAAGGACTTCAATCCAGACATTGGCAACTTTTTGCTCCGTGTCAGTGATTTGAGTTGCACTGAGATTATGATACTTCTTTAATTCTATATCCAATTTTGATAAAGCGCTTTCGTCTACCTTTCCTGATGTTTTTACTATTGGAAGGCTGAAATTTTAACATGTTAGAAAATTAAAACATATTTAAAGTAATTGAAAATAATGAATATTATGTATCAGTCCATGACACAAAATTCATACAAACACTTGTCAAAATACTAGGCGGAGGAGGAGTATTAGTCGTTATTTCGAAGTCGCAATATACTTTCAACAGAGAGCAAAAGTTCAAACTTCCCTATTTCATTGCTCATCGCTAAAATTTAACATACTTGTAATACAATTATTGTGTTTCGGTACTTTGTTATAAACAAATAAGTATCTAATCTAATCTATTTTTTGTTGAAAAGTGGTTTGTAGCTTAACAATTGTTAGATAATCGTATATTTCATTAGATAATCATAAATTAATGTTCTAGTAGTACCAAGTACTGTAAATATATAGATGTGGAGCTGAATTATTGTTAATCGTCATTTTTTTTTCTTTATTTCTAAGTGCTCCTTTCATTTATGGATTGGGACAGTCCAATTGGTTCAACTTGTTTTTCGGAATATGGGTGGATAATAATTAAAAAAATACCTTTGCAAAGATACAAAATATGATGGAATCATATATAAAGGTAGTATTTGTTTAAGTGAATCTCTTATTTCTTTCATAGTTGTCTGTACTTCTGGTACAATGTATGCCACCAGGAACCTGTCTTTTATTTGCTGTCCTTTCACTAATACTACACAAGTAGTAACCCCTTCACAACCATTTATGGTTGTCTTCAATCCCTGCAAAAGAGTGATGTATGATAAAAGTATTAAAAATTTTATGTTCGATATTTTTGCTACATTTATATTCTCTAGAGCATTCTGAAGCTAGTATTGCTGTTTTCAATTTTCTGTGTTTTAAGTTTGAGCGTTACTGATGAATGTAAATCCAGAAAAGTGCTGCCGACGCACCAAATTTATAAAGTGTTACTTTTATGTACTAGCACTGAGTTGATATCACAACTGGCGCACTGTAAATTTTTGAAGGGTATCATCAGCTAATTTGTCATTTCGTCGGTACAGACGTCATTCATAGCATATATTTCTAAATTCTCTCGTCGATCAATCCAGAAATTATTAAGAAATTAAAACTCCATATCCTTGGCAAAGTTGACCTAACACGAATAAGGTTGTTTAATAAAGACTCCTTTTGGTCATATAGCTCCATATGCCAATTGAATTTCAAATGATTTGACGATAACGTTTCGGATGACGGTATATCAAGAAAACGGTTTAGTACGCACACAATTTACAAAGTGTGGTTTTCATTTTAATGTATTAGCACTGGGACAATAGCACTACTGGTAGACTATCAGTACCCGAGTTTTTCATCAGTGCAGTAGTGAGTGCATCGGTAGTGACAACATTTATAACATAATTGTCAAACATTGCAAGTTCATAAATTCAGAAGTCACTGAGAAACTAAGTTTTCAACTCCCTCAATCAAAGTTGACTATTGTTAAATTTGGCTATTCTTTAATTGGTAGGTTCGTTTTGGTAAAAAAGCTCATAATGTATTTACACATCAACACTCTAGTATTGAAATGTTTATTGAGACAGCTGATTATGGTTTTGTCATTCAATTTCTTGAACCCTGGGATAGAAAAACTGTATAAACAAGAATTTGTCCATAGTACACGGATGCCCCACTCGCACTTTCATTTTCTATGCTCAGTGGACCGTGAAATCGGGATGAAAACTCTGATTTGGCATTAAAATTAGAAAGATCATATCATAGGGAATATGTGTACTAAGTTTTAAGTTGATTGTAATTCAACTTCATCGAAAACTACATGGACCAAAACCTTTTACCTGAAGCGGTACAGACGGACGGACGGACGAACGGAAGCACAGACAGAATAAAATAATGCCCCTAGGTGGAGCATAAAAGTCAGCACTCAGCGGTAGATTTTTAAGCGTAGCATTACAAGAATCTTGCAAACATAGTTATGTTTTATTAAGCAGTTTTGAACAAAACAAATTGAAAACTGCAAAATGCATTTTGAAAATTTAAAGATTTGAATACATTATTTTTTTTTAAATACCGGACATCTTCATTTTGACATTTCTTTCTAACAAGAAACGTTTCTGGTCGTCATATATTGGTGTTGAAACTGTTATAGATTTAATTGTGTTCCTTGTTGATAGTTTTGAAACATTTGCAAATAAATCTTAATATAATGAAGATTAAAATGTTTTTAAAAAATGTTTAGAAGATGATGGTTTTTCTATAAACAAGGAAAAATTATATTGACTTTCATTACATTGGTTTGGTGCTGTTCGGAATGTTAGTGTATATTTCTATCTACTCCGAGCAGACATGTTAATTATTTGTTCATATTTCTTTCAATAGTCATGATAATTGTTAAAATATTTCCACACATACTTGCTAGCTCAGGTTGTAGCTAGAACTATTTCAATGGCTCCAGTTTTTGAAAATGTAGGTAGAATTATTACTAAATTCTGTTATATGGTAATTTAGTGTAAACCGGAATTTGGCAAATGGCTGTTGTTTTCATGTCCTTGCAAAGTGTTATCAGAATTGTAGTTCTTGTAAAATAACATTAGTATTTTTAACTTAAAATAATTTGGCCATACGTCTAATGCCAGTTGCATATTTAGTAGAACTTTAAAAAAATATTTTCGAAACATGGGGATATTTTCAAGTAGAAGAAAGTCAGATATAGAGGGTGATGAAAGCCATGCAGCTAACCTTGCTGTCATTCAAAAACGTGTTTGAATGAAAAACATTTATCATAAATGGTACACAGACAATTAGAACTGTATACAAATTTTAAAATTTTGAAGTATGAATAAAAACCTGCAAATAGTAACCTTGTCTATATTTTTTGTCTGCACTAAAAACTATATTTCATTTACCGTTCGATTCCTGGCTCACAGAGCTCTTTAGCTGATTACATAAGGAAAATGGTCAATAACAACGACTTCATATCTTCAAATGTCCATTTTTTCAAATTGATGAATGATTGTGAGGGTCATTACACAATAGAGAGGTTTGCTTCCTCTTAAAATGCTGATGAGTGTTACTATGATTATTTATTTAAGAACACTTGCACAATAGTTGCATCAATGCTTTTACACGACATTCGTATAATAAAATATTAGTTTATACCGTGATTCGATAAAACAAACACTAGATTCACTGTAATGCTAAAAAAACATTGATTGAAATGAAATTAGCAGCCTATTGGACTTAAAAGAGCTGAAACTTAGAGTACAAGGTACACATACTGCAGTTAATTTAAAGATACAGAAGGATTTTTGTGGTAGGCTCTAACAGGACTCAAAATTTGACCTAGAATAATATAATACACAAGTCAGGGCTACTGTGTAAATGTGACACGGTCTAGTAGAATTAGTTGATATGGCCACGTGTATTGATACTTTGTCCAGATAACAAAACTGGGGCATGCCACGGCCAGTTATGTTGGTTAAATGAAGTCAAAAGGGGATAACTTTGAATTTATATATGTGAAGTATGGTTATGATTTTTAAGAATATATTATATATTGTTGACACACTTTACAAGATTTTCAACGTTGGAATATAGCAATCATTGTATAACGACATTCATTCTAGTATGCTTAACCAACTTGTACATACACTTCTAATATATGTTCTAATGTGGGTCGAAGTCGGACAGCATTAGAGAGAAGTACAAATATATATTCAACTTGTGTAAGTGATCACAATTACATTGCATCTCTTTATTCGTGTTTTACCAGCTTCAAATTACAAATTTCATTATATTAAATCCATATCTCAGAAACTCTACGAATAAACTAGATACAGCTGAATATACTATTTTTGGGTTCACAAGCTAGTCGATTTCCCAAACCCTTGCAAGACAGACTTATTAACTTTCGTTCGTAAAGGGTCAAACATTCAAATTAATCTTAAAACTAAAGAAAAAAAAAAACTATTACAGCTGACATTTTATTAAAAACTGTAAACAAAAATTGTTCAAACTGTGAACTTCTTGCTGATGAAACCCCGCCGCCTTTTATGCGCCTGTCCAAAATCAGGAACCTCTGGACTTTCAAACGAACACGACAACATAACACTATAATGTTCGGCCTAATAAAGGAATAACATTCATGTACATGAATAAGTGTTTAACACACAGAATCTGTGGACAATTTGAATATCAAAATCAATATGAAAATATAGATCAATAACATATAGATTCAATCAGCACATTAGGTGAAAGTTTTGAAGCGAACATAATAGCAAAAATCTTATTATAACAAAAGATTGCACACTTTCCCTCTTTATACAACGTTACATAATAACACAACAATATTAAAAATCAATTTATAACGACAACCATAAGTAAGACACCAGTAAGAGCGGCAAAAACTTACTTGACATAAATAGTGCATTCGAAATGTTTGCTTATCAGTAACAAAGGTTGATTTAGGGGGCAAGGTGCCCCCCCTCTTTTGTGGGAAAAATTTGGTTGATTATATAGGGAATCACTGAAGCACGACCGGAGCGGGCCCCCTCTTATGCAGTCAGTGCCCCGCCCCCTTTATGAAAATTTCTTGATCTACCACTGAGTATATCATATCTAACTGATAAATCTTAGTGTTATCACTCTAATGTTTTTTAATAGATTTCAAGATAAATCCAAAAATGTAAACAATTGGCAACAACAAATCGTACAAGGAATCAACCTACGATTTATGTTATGTCAATTTATTCGTAGATTTAGTCTTACGGATCACTTATACTGTCTAGAGTTTATGTCTATGTATTCAAGATATCAGATCATTCTTAATATTTTGTTTTTGAAATGTTTGCAAACATTGCTGTTGAAGTACAATTACTCGTATAAGGATAATTTACTGTATTTGATTTTTTGCAGTTCATGTCATGCTGGCTATCTCTGTTGTTTACAGTTTCACAGAGGTATTATGAAACGTACAAACCTTCTAAAGTGGCATTTACTAAAGTCAGAAACATATGAGTACCGTGGTGGATATGAAGGCAGAAATGTGTAAATATAGGTACAGTACATATGATAATACAATTTCAAACCAACTGTTCAATTGTATAGATAAAATAAACTGATAGATATTATATTGTGTATGTTGTTTTGAAATGATGATATTCATATATACATTATACTCATGTTACCACCACATCATTCTGCCTCTATAGTAGTGACATGAAGCACGTACAAATTACCATCAGATATTATTAGTGCTAGGTCAATACATGTCCCTTTTCTATATTCATAATTTTTTTTACAATTAAAAAAAACCGTATACTACGAATTTCTATCTGTGATTTCACTTTAACTGGGTTGCCTTAAATTTTGAGAAAAGTCATTAGCAGACTGCTGAAGGAAAACATATTAAAATTTGAAAGATTTCCTCTTGAAAATTCATGAATTTGAAATACTGTTTCATATAAAAACATAACTTCGAACGTTTTGAAGATAAAATTAGAGTTTCCATCGGTTTTTGTTTTTGTTTTTGTTTTTACTTGATACGGCTCCTTTACGATTTACAAGATTTGAACATCAAACTATTGTCGCCTTAATACAAGATATTGTAGATTACTTCAATGTATTAAACTGTTCCATTATAGATAAGGAGTTATCGTATATTTTCGTAAATACAGTTATATATTTTATTCATCTAAAGCAAATGCGGTAAAAAACATTGCTCTTCTTGATGAATATACCTGAACATCTACGGAACGGCCTCTAATTTTAACAATTGAATCACATCTGCCACAAATCTCTAGTGTTCCATCAGGTAATAAATATCCCAAGTCTCCAGTCCTATGAAGTCTGTTTCCATAGCTTGTTGTTACACCTTCTGGCACTTTTATAAATCTTAACTGTTCAACGTTTGGTCTGTTTAGATACCCATGGGCTAAAGTTGGTCCTCCAACATAGATCTAAAATTGCAATTTCCAACAAAAGTGGGGAAATTAATGTTTTTATTTACGGATAGGTCATGTGGGTATTTAATAAAATAAAAACATTCTCATGTTATTTGAATGTATCCTGATATATGCAAGATGTACTTGTTAATAGAGTTACCTATGTCTGTAATGCCTGCCGATATTTTGTACAATTATTGGTTTATTTTTGCTTGTGGGAGAGCTGAATATCGTAATTTAAATCATTAAAATTTTAATTCTATATTCCCATGTACAGTAATTGCCCCCTAGTATTGTTTTGTGTAGATTTCATATTTTTTTCTGTATTTGCCAACAATGCAATATATTTTACTCACATATCCGTAATTGTGAAACCAATTCAACGCTATGATTGTTGACTTTATGTACTTACTTCATTCTCATAGACACATAGTAATGATATTAAGAATTGGAAAGAACAACAAAATGCATGTCCCATATCATTATTTTAATGATTGGAGATATTCATCATTGAACATGCCATCTAACTTTGAAAAATCTGTGATATTTAATCATTGTTTGTAGATAAAAAATGTTCTTTTTTATGTTTTTTTTTCTTATATCCGCCGTCTTTTTCTTATGACAGTATGGTGATGAACTGTATTGTAACTTTTGTAAATGATTAACATTAACATCTGTTATGGAAACATAAATTGATTTAGACTAAAAAATCCATTTGGAAGTGATTATACATTATATAGAATTCCGGCTTAGATTGGACTAGCCACAACATGTTAAGATACTAATCGAACAAAATGAAAAATTCCAAAACCTGTCTTAAGCGCCGAATTTAAAAAAAAACGGGATTATTGTTACGACATTTGGAACATATCCGCTATCATCTGTGAAATGGGATATTCCATAACAGTTAACCAATTCGTGATGAGGTTCGTAAAATTTACGATAGGATGATTTCAACTTTACCACTTGGAACTCTTGGTTTAATAGCTTTCACAACTGGAACATACAAATAATATAGTGAGAATAAATTAAAACTTATCTTATCACTTTCTTAACAATCAAAGAAACTCCAAAACAGACAGTGGCATCAACAAAACAACAAAAAATCATATATTTAAGATACTTAGATACCTCTCCTCTTCCTCCAGTGGATTGTATTTTGTTGTCTTTGTCAATTAGAACCAAGTCAACACCAGGTAAAATTGAACCAACTGGACAAAACCTTCTGTCGGTCAATAAATTCTAAATATACAAATTTAGTTGTTATAAATACGTTATTATTGAAAATATTATTATTTCCTGCCTAATCTTGTATAATGCATCAAATACATAGATATAAAAAATGACGTTATAATTAAGTAAAAATATTTATTAACAGTTCTTATCAACTATTATCACTACATAATAACAACATACTTTTGCCGTGACTTGGTTTTTATGCATCTCGCTATCGGGTTTTTAAATTTTGGAGCTCCTTGCGCAGGTGGGTTCTGAGGTGCGATTGGGACACTGGAGGTTTTCACAGTCACTGTGTTATTTCCATTTGTTTCCCCTTGTATTAAAATTTTACTTAATTTGTACTTTATCGAGAAATTGTATACTATATACGGTATGTATTATCAACTACACAAACTTTTTGTTGGCGTCTTTGACAAATATACTATCAACTACATCAACCTTCATACAAGTTGAAAATTAAGCTAGTTATGAAAGCAGGATTAACCCACCTATTTCTTTGAAAAACATTTGTACTTAGTCAGGAATATGACAGTTGTTTTTCGCTCGTCCCGTTTGTTGATACTTTTTGATTTTGTCAGTTTTTATGGACTTGAAATCACTATTAGAATTTACCTTGGAGTTCGGTATTTTTGTTATTTTTTTCTAACTGTAACAGGGAAATGACTCATTGCAGATATGGTAATTACAGCAACTTCCCTAAAAAAATGTGTCTGGAGAAAACTGAACAGTTATTTTTAGGGAAATGAATACAGTTATCGAATATACTCCGTAAACAAAAAGACGATATATGAGATAGCATTTTAAGAGTTAGGTTGCAAATAGGTAAAAAGACAGGTATTTGGGCATACAGACGTGAAAACGGAACAATTTTGCTGCTTAAAAAGATCTAGGTAAAGTAGATTTTGATTCTATCTGATTTAAAAAATTGGTTAATTTTTATGATAAAAACTTTACTGCATCGGTCAAAGGGCCGATATTCGACTCTAAATCATGGATAGAAAAGCACTCAGCTATTCCTCGAACATTATCCATATTTGTTATCCATATTTGTTACTTTTCATACAAAGCAAGTCAGCATAGTTGAGTTGGTTTAGTGGCCAATTTTGGGTGTCATTATAGAAAGTCTAAAAATTTATTGCATGGTTAATATCATTAAAATAGATCAAGTTCAAAAGTCAAATCTTGATCTTCAAGTTGAGTGTTGCATATGAACAAACTGATGACTGGACAAACAACACATATAGATGGAACAGTTCGAGGGAGTATACCCTTCTTTACATCTATCGGTGCGGTGATTAAAATCTTACCTTATTTTTTTCGAAATAAGAATTCAAATCTTGACAGGCAACGTCATGGCATTCTGATGTACTATAGAGATTTAAAAACTTAACCCATGGCAACAACTTCAGACATCTCCCAAATAAAGCTGTAGTCACAACTTCACCACAAATCCAAATTTGCCTGAAATTCAATACTTAGATTGAAGGTCTTCCAAACATTTTCATATATAATGATATTTAGAGCATGTCATTTTGAAAGAAAAAAAAACTCGTTTATTGTTTAAGACCAATTGACAATTTGATGTTTTCTCGTTTTAAGTGTCTTTCGGGTTGCTTTGTTATAGGCATATACTTCACACTGTTCACCCAACCACTTTTTAATCCACCGATAGAAATAAACAACAATACAACTAGAAAGAAAAATATGTGAACAACAGTAATGTTTGAAGGACAGATATTAGGTAAATAATCAATTAATGTTTATGCTTTTTTTTTAGAATCGTTTTAGTTTGTACCCATGTTTTATGAGATATTCTTCAAAATGCTTCATATTCAAATATTGTCAACACACAGTTACCGGATCGAAATCGGAACATGGAATCAGTATAACAGACAATCCTTAAACGACGAATTAATCCTTAAATTCATAAACAATTTTGATTGAAGCAACTTAAGTTTGACAGAAAAGGAAGCTTTACGAGGAAAGAGCAGAATTTAGAAAAAAAATGCTGAATTCTCGGAAATTATTTTCTTTTTTATTCAGTGAATTTTGAGACCTACTTTTAAAGTTACACTGAATGATTAAATTATGATTAACCCATACTTTCAAGAAATTTCTGATCAAGCAATCTGATAGTGAACCACCAATAGAAACGGATAGGCTATTTTTTCTGTTCAAACAGAAATATAGCTTCTTTGTGCAAGGAAACCAAAGTATGGAAAAAGAAAATATGTTTTCGAAGTTGGCACCAACTTCCTCCAAACAATTTTGCTGACAAGATAAAAGAGATTTTTAATGGAAAAAAGATAAAACAAACCAGGAAGGAATGATTGAAAAAAAAAATTGCACTTCAAAGTGCAGCTCCACTCGTACAAAGGAAAAAGCAATTCAACTGATCTAGGTCACAAATCTAAAAAACGATAAAAAAATTATTAAAAAAATAAGTCGTACCAAAATGATATATCAAAAAGAGAACACACGTGTCGAGCAAATGACAAAATATGCAAGAAAATTATGAACTTGTATTCATCACCATAAGAACTATATATTCAACAGTGGTCTTAACTTCGCAACAAACTCAGAACACCTGGTATGTAAAAGAATTGCATACCTACATTTAAAAGGTCTGTAGAAATTTCAGACTTAAAATCCTTTTTGAAAGATTAGAATATGGATAAATTCGTCATTTGGAATAATCAGCGTCTATTATACGTCTATTATAATAAAAAAAGTAGACAAAAAAGTATTATAGTAGTCATTGGCAAACAATACTATAATCATGATTTTTATAAACCTCTAGAGCAATTAAAAGACAAACATCATTATCGATAGATAGTAACAAATATTGTCAACACAAGAATGCGGGTTATGAAGATGAATTAAAGAGAGACACACGATACCAAAGGGAAATTCAAAGTCGGTAACAAATAAACAACGCCATTGCAAAAGTACGCATTACATACAAAGAACAATCTATAAAACACAACAGAAAAACTAAAAACTGAGATAATTGCAAAATATTTTTAAGGATGAACAATATCTTGCGCAGTTTGCTGCATAAAGTAGAAATGTATATGGCTTTCGAAAAATACATACACCATGGCAATATGAATGTCCCTTAGTTATCTTTTGCTTTTCTTTTATCAAACTTTATATCAAGTTAATACTGTGGAAGAACTAGTTATACTAGATAATAACTTGATATATGTCACACAAAAAGCAAAGGGGAAAAAAAATTCAAACGAAGTGAAATATCTATATTTTACCTCAAACTTTTGAGTTCCTCGAATTTTAGTTCTGGACTATTGATAACAGTTTCTAGTAGCGATGGCGTGAACATCATTTGTGTTATCTTATTTTTGTTTATGTATTTGGACAATAAATATGGATCATAGATCGTTGTGCTGGGTATGATGTTCATTGTTATTCCTAAAAAAGAGTCACAGAAAAATCAATTTATCTATGACGAATTTTTATAACTGACTATGCCGTAAATGTTTTGCTCATTTTTGAAGGCCGTACGGTGAGCTTTATTTGTTAACTTCTTTGGCATGTGGTCTCTGATGGAGCGTTGTCTAATTGGCAATTGTAACACATCTTCTTATTTTTATATTGAAAATAAGCAACACAATTAATGAAAAGATTGTATCGTCAGTATACGCGTGTTTTTTTTATAGACAAATGAAAGGTGTTTCAGGGCAGTCTGTTTTATTGTTGTTTTTCTTGTCTTTGTTTTTTCTTACTTTGTAACAGATATAATTGAAGCGAGGCTTTAAATGAAAATAACACTTTAAACATTTCTTGTGTACGATTTGCTTTTCTTTGTGTACTTTTATCAGGAACACTCGCACCCAAACATTTTAAAGCCAAGGATGTATAAAAACAAAGAAACATTAAACGCTCAATCACCAAAAGGGGATAGTTCTTTCATATAATTTTTAAATTGACAATAATATTCAATGGGATAAAACATCAAAATCAAATTTAAAAAGAAACACAATTTAAAGGATAAGTTACTTAATCGGTATTTTATTTTTTCAATTTTTACTTAATTTACGTTTCATACAAGTAAGCAATTTCAAAAAAATGTTTTGTACATCGGTTAACCTCTGCCGTCTTATTTTACCAATTTAATTATATTTGATCTTGAAAGTATGTATCGTTGATGTTGAACAACATTCCTATATTTCAAATTTTGTAGTTAAGTAATATTTCGACAAGAACATTATTTATTTAAGATATCAAAACTATCAATCCAAATGTATCTAACGAATTTAAAGTGAGCAAAAAGATGCAGTTATGTTTCATGACAGAAGTGGCAAAATACATCTGATTTATTCATTGCTGTAGTGTCTCATCTCTATAAATTATATTGTGTAGTAGCTTCACTTAATATTGCCTTACTTTTCTATCAGCAAAATATTCATGAATACAGTTCCAAATAGGTTCCATTAGCAACTCAGATTGAAAATTAAGGTCAAATGTTAGTTCAGAGTTTGGTAAATAGAGGTATCAAAGAAATGCTTGTTGAAATTAATTTCTTTATTTCTATGATTTCATTGTTTTTTGTTAAATTGATAGAGTTCTTAACCGATTTAAGCGAATTAATATATTCGGAAGTTTTAAACGCCATGAATGTAAGAATTGAATGCCGCTTTGATGCGACTAAGATCTGATATCCAATTTTGTGTATTGATAAGTCGATTGAATATTTCAGCAACATTTTAAAGCTCTAAAACTTTGCATATTTACATCTCAGAAATCAATTACAGTTTTGATTCCACTGTTTGAAAAATTGCATATAAAAATACTAATTCCCTTCTCGACACACATGTTTGTACTTTTTAGATTATTACTATACGAGATCAAAAGATCGCTGTAACATTTCGACATTTTGTTTCTCTCCTTTGATTTATTTATCAGATGTATTACAAATAAAATAGTCTACACCAAAAGTATTGTCGAGGCATTTCAATCATTATTTTTCTAATTTCATTCCATACCTCCACATCTGATCTATCGATGTTACTCGTACTTTAAATATGTTTGGATTTTACGAAATTTCTCAAGATAATCATTAGCATGTTAACCTTTGGTTTTAGGTAAACAGGAAATTAAACAGCCCGCGACCTCTTTTTGTTTACCCTTTCCTATAAACGACCAAATGATATTGTGTATTTATTCTTCATATTTTTCTGGTATTC